TGGCCTGCAAGCGCTATTAAGTTATTAACAGTCTAAAACTATGTAAGTTCTCTTTAGAGTATATCAACTGACAATACAATCAAAGTAAGGAAAAAAAGGCAAATGTTTACCTTGTAATTTTGCACGCCTTTGAATACAGATACAGAAAATCGCGTACTGTATTATAAAAATAATCAAACCCCGTAGATGTTTTTAGCAAACTATTACCACATACATTAATCACAATTATTGAGTATCTTTACAAATTTGCTCGACGAAATAGGAAAAGTACATTTTCTGATGTTTACATGTTCTCCGTGATCTTTCAATGCGAAAAATTAAAGGAAATTGCTCCGTTACGCTTCGTCATTTCCTGCAGGGATCTGCTTGTTCTATTATTGTCTTACTAAAAGTGCAATTTCTTATCTGTAAAACGCCAGTCTTAAACAGATTATAATTCTTGTTAATCCTTAAGAAAACGTTTGTACATTTGCTAACTCATCATCCAAGAATGCCGTACCTGTTTTATGTGAAAAAAAACATCAAAATAGTATATAGTATATATGAAGGTTATTAAGTTTCGTATTGATGTTGTTGATCTGACTTGTGAAATATATCCTATGGATATCCGCGCATGGAATGTAAAACAGGTAAAATGTTCTTATTCTATGAAGAAAAATGCCACTCTTTTTTTTAAATATGCTTGTGTTCAAATGTACGAATGAATATATGTATAGTTTTAAGTCAATATATACGCTTGACTAGTGATTACAAAAATATGGAGCCAAATGATATCCTTAAAACACTATTCGTTAAGAAAATATAACCCTTTTTTAATATTTGGTATGTTAAGGGTGCCCTTAGAATAACTATAAGTGCCACTAACAAAAAATGTTTGAGATGAGATTTGGCATTTTACAAAATGATTTTGTTTTGTAATATTGCAAATATTTTATTAAAAAAACTTACTTTGAACTAGGAAAGCACAAGCTATGATATACAGGGTGTATCAGGGCTGAAAAAATTTCAAAAGTGTAGTTTTTTTGATAGATAACGTTCACCAAGTTTGGTTTCTTTATCTTGATATACATGGAAGATAAAAAAAGAAAACTTTCTTTTTAATTTTGGAGGCGCGTAACAGGAGTTTTTTCAAAAAATTTTATACCAATAGTCCCTATTAATTTTCATCGGAGAATCGTTCCTTAAATTTTTTCGGTGTTATTTAGATACACCCTGTATATGTGTTTGATTTAAAATTCCATCTCGGTAATTTTATCACCCACAAGGGCTACGACGTTATCGAAATTATTTTTCCTAATTTCACACATATTTTAAATTTTTTAATTACATCATATAAGAATTCTCATTTTTCTCAACATCTTTTATTAAAATTGTTTTTGGATATTTCTTCCCTTTCAAAATATAAAGATAAAAATTATATATACAAAGAAAAACAGTGCTGCGATCAAGTCTGTTGCTGATTTTATCAGCATTACCGTGGAAAGTGAGATACTTTTATTGTTTATTCAACATCAATCATTTGTTTTTATAAATTTCTACTGCTAATTTCGTATCTTTTCGAACACCAAAAAAAAAACAATATACTTACTTTTTCCTTGAGTTTCAATTTTTTAAATAAATATAGTAAATTTGCACAAAAATAATTAAAACATTTCAGTAATGAATATAAATATTGAAAGTATTTCACGGTAATACTGACAAAATCAGTCTTACATCGTTTCAAAGGGAACAGAATCGAAAATTATTTGAAATAAAAGTGGTTGAGGATTTTCATATGATGTAAAAAAATATTTATGAAATTGGAAAAAATTATTTTTATTACGTCACAGGCTTTTAGCGCGGTAAATCGCTTGCAGTTTCCTATTTGATCTTTTCGTTTTCCTGTAATGGCGGCCAACCACCAGTTTTGCATCACCCTGTAAATATACCAAAATTAAAGACAATTGGACTTCTACGTCTTCGAATATTTGAAAACAAGCAGAATCTTTTAACAACATTTACTTTTTTCTTCAACCCCTCGTTTCAACTCAATTTGTGGACACATTTTTTTTAAACGAGCGTAAAACTCAAAATCGTATATGCGAGAATTCTCTGCCTTAACAAACTTGAAACAAATTATTCTGTGAGGTCAATGACGATAGCAATAACATATTTGAAAGTACTTAGAGCTGTGCTTAATAATAATTATTTTGGGAATGATAAAATTTGATGATTTTTTTTAGCAAATACGACTTTGATTAATAAGATAGCAGAACATTTCCAATTGTATTATTTTAAAATTATGATTGATTAATTGGTTTAAAAAATAATTGGTGTTTTAGAGCGGTTCTACTTTTTTATCTACTTTTTTATTCCCCCTTCGACGGTGTACTTATTCCTTTCTATAATTTAATTTTTCTTTCCTAGACGTGCAGAAACTATCACTTTGTAAATATCGGGACTAATGATTATAAATCGTTCTTCTTCTTTTAATTTAACTACATAGTTATTTTGACCATACTTTCCAACACGCGATAAGAAAAAGTATGCGGTCGAGGACAGACACGAGAAATGAATTATTACAGAAGTACAGTTACTGAAAATAGCAAAAAAATGAACGCACGTTTGTCTTCAGTCTCATAGAAAAAGTGCTACAAACAAGCTGATGTCGTTTTAAAAGTTATTTGCTTTTTTCGTAGACACTTAATACAAATTTAAACCAAAGAGTCGCATGAAAATATTATTATTTTATTTAATATTTTATTACTATCAGTCGATGCAATTTTTTCTGTAATCCAATTAATATATCAAATAGAATGATATTCTTCTGCTAATAACTTGATAACTAAATACCTACCTTATTGATGTAGCATCAAAACAAAATTTACGAATTATGAATCATAAATTACGCAAAAATTTCATTCCAATTTTTATGCACGTGTCGCGGATTTCACTAGATCGGTTGTTTATCTTCTACCATGGCCCCACGTTGAGCGCCATAACGAGGATTTTTCTGGGTCAGACTAGTTTGCAGTGGAGAGGAACTATCTCCATCCCCCATTAGCATAACGAGAGGGTTGAAACCCTCATAATGGGTATACCTAGCGTTTCCTCTTTAACGATCGCCTCAAGGGATGTCAGGGGAAGACGCGGAGGTGATCGCTCTTCCTCCATTGTGAGTTTTAGTTTAGCTTCGGGTTGGTGTTCTACGCTCTGATTTGTTGGTTGGGTGAAATTTTCAAAACATCGGTGAATTTCCATGTCTTTTCGTGGTTGGAGGTACGCAGCGTTCGGTCGCGCGCTTGTCCGCATCGTCGTGGATGCTTCTGTGACGTCTGCGGAGCCTCGTAAGAAATCTTGGAAAAATCGTCGAAAACTAGAGTTGCCCTGCATTTACGACAATATCGTTCATACAAAACAGTCATGTTTTTTAGTTCATTTGTTTATGTTTTGCGTTGCAGGTCACAACCATACAACATGAGTTTTGTGAAACATGGTCGTATTTCTCTAGTTCTAGTACAAGTGTAGGCATTTATGTATTTAAAAGTGATAATTAGACTTTCTCATAGTTGTATACTTAGTTGGTTATTGTATTGTTACTATTTAGGTTTCTGCCGTTTTCGAAGAAATGACCTTTTACGTAATATCCAATTTTTGAAAGTGTCAGAGACTAATAGATTGTACAGGGTGTCCAAGATGGAGTTGATAAGAGGGAAATTTTTTTATTTCTCATTTTTGGAGAAAAGTTATTCTCGTTAAAGACATTTGCTTCTGTTCAAGTGCACCAAAACGTAGTATGTAATATAAAATATATAAAGGGTGTATCCTATAAGAAATATGATTGTTGATTTTATCATTAGGACTCAATATACAGGGTTATTCAGAACTTATCAAAAAAAAAATTAATGTACAGGGGACAAATCGTATTTGTAAAAACAAAATCCAAAACGGCAAAATGATTTAAAAATACACTTCTGCACGGCACTGGAAACTAGTCCACTGTAAAACCTGACCTTGCGCAGTGCAAAGCATGCGTTCGGCGATTGGCACGGCGGCAAAGTTTAATAAAAAATGAAAGGACAAAAAATTGAAAGAATTTCTTTTCAAATTCAACTCTTTTTGCTGCTATTATTATTAATAAAATTAATTTGTTATTGTTATTATCTATTAATTAATAAAATGAATTTGTTGTTTTAATTAATAAAATAATTTGAAATACCTGATGTTACAACAACTGTTTTGTCCATCGACGTGTAAAAACATTTGGGCCCATCTTACCCAGTTTCTACGAGCTAACACAAATGTTGTCTTGCTTCGCTATAAATTAAAAAATATCCATCAACTTCGAGTTGTAAGCCAGTTTTGACACTTGAAAAACTAATGTAAACACTATCGCAATAACGTTAATATTAAAATCGGAATCTCCTAGGGCAACACGAATGACGCTAGAGCCCAGTAAGGATTAAAAATATTACAAAATGTCTTCTCTTCTTCTGGGTAGCAATAACTTGCAATAAAGTAATTTTTATTTTTTTTTCTCCAAAAAGGAAGCAAGATACGAAAAAAATTCAAGAGACAAAAGGTTGTATATTTAGTTAATTAATGCGAAAAAAATTATAAAAGTTTTAAAAAGTCAGTGACGCAAATTTTTTTTGTCGGAAATATTGGTTAAGGTGCCCCCCGGGACGCCACTGGACTAAATAAGTTTAATCTAGTTACGGCTAAATTAGCCCCTTTCTACCAAAGTAACACTGCCAAATTTCAACAAAATCGACTAAAGGATTATTAAGATTTTTACGAAAAAACGATTTTTTTTTTAAAAGTTTGATACCCTGTATCTTGAAAACGAAGCATTATCGGGTCTGTGTTTATATAAACTTTTCGTCTTAGATTCACTCAAATTATCATCCCTTGAAGTTTAGCCACGTACTTAATAACACCCTGTATTTCTTATATTTGCCGTATTTTACCTGCCCCAGTAGTAAGATCTATGCAAACGCTGTATTTTTTTTTTGTTTCAGAATCGAAATGGAATGCGTTCTAAGGGAAGGAGCTCTCCGTTTGTTGACAGCAGAATCTTCTTGTGATGTTATCCTCAGCTGCCAAGGGCACAGGCTGATGGCCCACAAACTCATATTGTCGATGGCTAGTCCAGTTTTTAGGGTAAGAACTTCAAATCAAATCGGAACTATGTAAATAGAAAGAAAATAACGGCGGGACAAAGTAGAATTAATTTGAGTTTACAATAAAAATAATTTAGTTCCAAAAGAGTAAGTAAGCCTAGAATTTTAAGTACCTACTAAATTTTGATCTCAATTTATGGACATTAGTAGCAGTTTGACTACAATTCCCAACAGCACAGTAGTAAGTACTTATTTAAATAAAATTCTGAAAAGTTGTCACATATCCTACTTTCTTCCATTAACAACTCAACTATCAATGTACCAGTTCTCACGGTGCCTGAATAAAAACACTTGATATTAAAAGACAGAACGTCTCATTTTACGTGCCAATATTCGTACATAATTTGAAACCAATTACAAATATCTGGAAAATGATAGGAAAAAGTAATCATATTAGTAGTAAGTACCTATCAATATTAGAAGCAGTTACTTGCTTAGAAGTGTCTTGCCTCATGTCACGAATTCGCATCTGGGATGAAACTAACTAGAATGTAACAGGATTAGCTTGTAGTTACTAACTTACGGGTGTTATATATACAGGGTGGTCCAGTTTCCGATGCGGAAACCTCAGGGACCGATAGAGATTCAAAAAATAATATGAGTTTGATATATAAACCCTATTCGAAAAATGCTTCGTTAAGGAAATACGGAGTGTTCAAGATTGGTTTAAAAAAATCAAATTTATTAATTATTGACAAACGGCTAAAGATATTTCAATTAAATTTTGTAGACGTTAACTACCATTGAAAGAGCATGTTTTGCAATGTAAAACATTATTTTTAGTTTTGCCAGTGGCGTCCGTACTAGCACGTTACTGGATATTTCTAAAGAAAAAATTGGTGTTTGCGTTTCTCTCTTAATTACTTTTTGATTTAAATCACCGCGCGTTCCGCGATTTAATTTCATGTTGTCCTTGTCCTCGAACCGAGGGTGGGGAAAAGATTCGATGAGAGGGGAGAAGAGTCGGCAGATATAAGTCGACATTCAACATTAAAAAAGTGTGTGTATGTGAAAAGCTCTGACCAAGACAATACGCAACTGAGATCTCAAATTTGAACTAATTGTATTTATGGTACATATGCTAGTGATATACAAAAATAATGCAAAGGGTGCTAGTTCCTGCTGCAAGCGAGTGAGCCGACATAGTGAAACCCTCAAAGGTAAGGACAACAAAATCGCCGCAAGACTTTTTTAGTACATTCTTTCAAACATCTTTTTTCCTAGTATAATCAATTGGTACGCCACTGCTTTCGCATAAAATAAAAATCAGTTTTGGATTCTTCATTCAATTTGGAAGAAAAGAGCTGTCTTTCAATTTTTCTGTACGACAGCATTTTCGAGTAAATAAATAAAAAACCCTTTTACATACAAAGTAAATTTAATTTCATTTTTTATGTTAATGAAACTGTAACAGGAAAAACAACAGATTTAATTAATGCTGGACAAAAACAACAACAAAATAAAATAAAAATGTAAGTTAAAGAAATTGCTCGAAATGTAGTCCACCCACCTCAATACATTTTCGACATCGTGTAACTAATAAATTTATTGCAGCAGCTACTTCATTTGGATTTCGCAGCATATCATTGCAGGTTTGTTGAATCCTTAAAACTAAATCATCTTTTGTTAACACTGGAGTAGCGTATATTTTGTCTTTTACATTTCCCCAAACGTAAAAGTCCAGTGGATTAAGATCCGGTGACCTGGGTGACCAGGCCATTGGTCCAATACCATTAACCATGTCATGATTCATGTCATTCCTCCCTAACCGGCTAATCCAACGTAGCGGATAATTAGTATATAGCCATTCTCTTACAGCTATTCCAAAATGCGGGGGCGCTCCATCCAGTTGTATCCAACTTTCATGCCTTAAGTTAACGGGTATATCCTCGACGTAATCCTGCAGGTTATTAGTAAGAAATTCAAGAAATACTTCTGAGTTTAACCTTGGGAGTAGAAAATGTGGACCACAAACATTATTATCAAAAACTCCCAACCAAACATTTTCGGAAAATTCATTTTGAAATGATCGTGGCCGAATTTCTCGAGGATTTTCGTGTGCCCAAACATGAATATTGTGGTAATTCGTTATTCCACGTCTACTGAATGAGGATTCATTCGTCCACAGAATTTTGTGGAAAAAGTCAGGATTTTCTTCCGTCGTGTTTAAAAGCCACTGGCAAAACCTCATTCGCTTGTCAGCATCCCCAGGGTGTAAATCCTGAACGGGCTGTAGGTGATATGCATGCCTGTGGTCATCACGTGATGTTCGTAATATTTGAGACTTGGATATTTGTAGTCGCTGAGCTGCCCTGCGAGAGTTGAGCCTCGGATTGTCATCAAAAGTGCGAAGAGTACGATTCCGATTGTTATTGCGACGGTTTCTGTTAGTTATGTTCATTGTTAACACGCAGGCCAAAGTTACGAAACTTTTGATGTGTTCCAATGAAGACACGAGCATCTGGAATTCTTCTATTTGGATAACGTCTTCGATATTCACGAACTGCCGCTTCCGCATTTCCATCACAAAATCCGTAACTAAAATGAATATCTGCGTATTCTTCGTTACTAAAAAGCATTTTTCAGGATAACACTAATAATAACTATAACAATAACAATAATTACAAATCAAATTACTAGAGAGCTAACTAAATGTGACAGTTACTAATTAATTTGACAGATAAATTTGTTATTTTGTGGTACTTATTCAATTGTTTTTCAAAAATCACAGAAAAATCGAAAGAGAGCTTTTCTTCCAAATTGAATAAATAATCTAAAACTGATATTTACTTTATGTAAAAGCAGTGGCATACCAATTTTTTCTTTAGGAATATCCAGTAACGTACCTAATACGGACGCCACTGGCAAAACTAAAAATAATGTTTTACATTGTAAAACATGCTCTTTCAATGGTAGTTAACGTCTACAAAATTTAATTGATTGAAATATCTTTAGCCGTTTGTCAATAATTAATAAATTTGATTTTTTTTTACCAATCTTGAACACCCTGTATTTCCGTAACGAAGGATTTTTCGAATATAGTTTATATATCAAACTCATATTATTTTTCGAATCTCTATCGGTCCCTGAAGTTTCCGCATCGGAAACTGGACCACCCTGTATAGTTATAGAAATATGTAAATAAACGTCAGTACATCGCGATCATGTAAGATCTAAAAAAAGCACCGCTCTAATTATAACAATTATACCTAATATTTTATTTGTCATTAAACTTGTCTTCAGTTTCTAATCCAGTTCTGTTTAGTTTCATTTCAAGACGGGTTTAAAGTTACAGTTAATTGCCTGTAAATTATAGAACTGGGTCAACGTGGACAAAGTAAAATTGTTTACATATTTATTAACGTCATCGGTGTAATTCTATGCCGGAAGACTGCTACGTTATCCGCGATGGATGTATTTATTACACGTTTTTAAAAAATATCGCGAATAAATAAAAAGGAAATATCCGCATAAACCAATTTTTCCACATTAAAATAGTTTACAAAGCGGTTATTGTAATTGCGATATGATAAATTGTGACAGTTATAACTCGAATTCCTTTTTTTTAGAGTTTTGCTATAACATTCATGCCTTCGGTTGATTTGTATTTATTCCCACTTGCATTTCTCACATCACTATATTATAACATATGGAATATCATTGAACACCAGATTTTGTCCGTTAAATGGACATAAATCTGTTAGTAATTACCTTTTTGATGGAAACTAAGGCGTAATTTGAAAGTGTCTTACTATTAGTGACAAGAATATTCGTGGGTTAACCACATTATCACCATCTGTTAGAAGATAAAGGAACTTCATTCAGGTGTATATTACAGTTCAATGATCAAGTTATATAATCACAGTTATAAAAAAATTTTGGTAAGATTTTCAAGAACTTTAAAATCTAATGATGGTTTACTGTTAGACATTAATTCCGAGCCTTCTTGATCAAGGTAACATTGTCAGAAAAAAACAGTTTTGTCGATAGGAATGTATACATGATGTTTAGTTTAAAAACTTAGAGAGAAATTCATTGGCACCCAGAAGTAGGGATGTTTTTGGTGTCGCTGATCATGAATCTGAACTCCAAAATACGCTATCACGCCAAATTTTGCAATAACCTTAAAAAAATGTCGAAAAATTTGATATATGGCCAATATTTTACGCATTATATCAATCTGGAAATACATTTACACCCAAAAGAGGCTAATACGCTCAATCCCGAACTCAAAAACCCTAAGTCCATAAACCCAGGTTTGTGGCGTTGTGTTGTCAGTATATTCCAAAATCGAAAAATAAGTCAAACTACTAAATTTCAACATGCAATTTCTCAAAACCGAAAAATGATATCGGGATAAATCCAAGTGCGTTTTGAAAAGTAAGCATAGTACTTTAAGACCCCATTAATGATTTCAGCAAAAAATTCACCTTTCCATGTAACATAACCTCAAAATGTCAAAAAATCGCGATTTTGGCACTTTTAGGTTAGGATATCTGGAAAACCAGAGCCAATTGAGATATGTGAACCTCGAATTCAGCGCATCAAAATCCTTTGAAACTGCAAAATATAATCAAAATTGTTAAAACTGATTGAGAACTTCTGGAACCGTGCTTTATATAAAAAAGGCGCGCCGTCCTCATTTTTGTCTCGTTCTTTGTAGTAATCAGAAAAGTTGCTAGTTCAATTGGTTGTCTTCAGTTATACTTTAGTTTTTATTATGGAATCGAGTACCATAATCCCAAGCGTGGATCTAGCCGAGCTTAGAGCCAGCGGTTCCAAACATGTTTCTTCCTATTATTGTGGTAGGTCAGAAGATATTAATATTGTACCTGCAAAAATATTTCTATCGATTTGTTTACTCTTCAAATATCCTTTCCAAGTTTGTAAACATCTTGTATATTTTAACACTTAATAAATGAAGTGAATACACAGAGCGTCCGCAGTATAACTACCGCATGTCTAATAAGTGATAGTATAGGTCAAAATAAACAAGAAGATTGTACAAGATCCTAAACTTAATCGTTTTCCAGAAAACACTAATTGCATGGAACTTTACGAAGTTCAGAATTAAAACTTGCGAAATAAAAAAGTTGCAACAATGGCTAAAATTGTTTGCTTTAAGTTTAATGATAATTTATTTCTCCAAATGCCTTATTTTATGCAAAATAATATAATAAGACATAAAAATATAATAGAACATAATTTGTAATGTTTCTAATTTAAATTACACATAATTGTGTGATATAACTTATGGGGGGCGTTTATATGAGCAATTTTTGTCCAGCATTTTAGAAAATATAAGCCAGTTAGAAACAATATCTCTTCATTGTACCAGTTAAATAAGTTTTCCCCAGGGTATAAGACAACTGACAATGCATTCAAAATAAGGAAAAAAGCATATTTTAACCTCGTATGTTTATCTTATGTTTCCTGAATTTTGCACGCCAGTTAAACATACTGAAAATAGCATCCGGTACTATAAACATAATTACACCCCGCAGAATGCTTTTAGGAAACTATTAACACATGCATTAAACACAATTATTGAGTATCTGTACAAATTTGCAGCACAAAACAGGAAAGATAAATTTTCTGATGTTTACATATTTTCCGTGATCTTTCAATGCGAAAAATTAAAGAAAGTTGCTCTAGTTTAGTGTTACGCTTCGTCACTTCCTGGATGGATCTACTTGCTCTATCATTGTCTTACTAAAAATGCGATTACTTGTTTATAAAACGCCACCCTTAAATCTAACGATCCAGCAATAAAACCCAGTTGACATATTAATATAAACAATTAAGATTAATTTTCTGTTGTTTTTTATTGTTCTTCGCGTTTCAGTTTTAAATTTTCAGTTATCAGTTGATTAGAGAGTGTACGTTTTTTGCTGTTTATAATTTTTTGTATATTGTTTTATTTACATTTTCTTTACCGTGCGTTAGTATCACATGCTATTAATTTATAGAGAAGCAAAGGACAACTCTTACGAAACGCGACGTATTTATCGTCACCAGTATCCAGGTTTATCATGCGTTACATCATTTGATGTGTTGTCCTAGCATGTTATAGATGCCGGTAGTGTTATTCCTTGTTCACAATGAAGGCCACAATGACAAATATTCGTGCAGATAGAGTAGCAGATATGTACTAAAACTTATTGACGACAATAATGGTTTTTTGGTGATTACGAGTAAGCATTAATACTAAAAATACACATTTCAATCAACGAAAAATCTTTAAATATCTTTGAAGCGGATAGACTTTGGACTTATGTATGTGGAATAAAATTTTGTGTTTATTTTGTAGTATTCTATTACATTTGTGACCTACACAGAGGACATCCTGTAGATTGTTCCGTTCGGTTTTTTCTTCAACCCATAATTTGGTAGTTCTGATTCACTTTCTACCAAATCTAAAACTGGCTGTTCTTTGCAAAGTTTTAAGAACAGGTTCTTTGTTTCAGGCACTACTAGTTGACGACGGCTCAGATCCAACAGTAGTAATCCTACCAGATATTAACGGAAACATAATGTCGCTGGTACTAGATTACATTTATACGGGTAGCGTGGTGGTCTACTCAAACACCATCCACGATTTCATAGCGGTTGCTGGTCTTCTAAAAATACACCTAGACTTAGAATACCCAGACGGAGTATCACCTCCTTGTAGCAACATTTACAAAGAGACAAAGGCGAACAAATGCCAGTTCGATGAAGATGTAGTTAGGAAAAAAGAAGAGGTGCCTTTTCAAGAGAAAGTAGAAAGTTTAGACGTGGTTTCTTCTAGCAATCCAGAGGTGTACAGTAAGAAGAATCAGAGGAAGTTGCCCAGTTTGGTACCCATAAGCACGGTACAGGCTCAGAATAAGTTGAGGTCCAACCAGAGGAAGTTGTACAGCTACGTCTTACCCAGTCCTTGGTGTCCTAGGGTGGAAAGGGTGTTTGGGGATCCCAGGAATGATTGCTTGGAAACCCAGGTGAGTCAGGAGGTTCAACTTTTACGTTTAGATGAAAATTAAGTTTTAGAGTGGAAACAGAAACATTTTTTCGGAACCACTGCATATTTGCTGCATTGGTTTAACATACCAGATGAGAGTTCTTATATACAGGGTGTCCGCGTTTTTTGTAGCAGGACTTTCACAACTTTCAAAATTTCAAACTTACCAAAAAGCAGTGGCGTACCATATTTTTTTCTATTTTTATCAAGCTGGTATCTTGTGACGCCACTGGAGAAAATAGGACAAATTAAATTATGTGAGAAAATGAGTATTATTATTACAAACAAAGTTGCCAAGTTTCAACAAAGTCTAAAAAGGGGTTTTCGTTTTACAAATAAAAAATCAAATCTCATTTTAAACTTGAACACTTTGTAAATCGAAAACAACGCATCTATACATATATGTTTATATGAACTTTTTTTTTAAAGGACTTTTAGTTCAAGTTGTGAAAGTCCTGCTACAAAAAACGCGGACACCCTGTATTCAGTATCTTGTTTTTTGGTTTTACTAACCTTCACCAATGAACTTCTCATCACAGAGAAACAATGTAAAAATCTGTTTCGTTGAAGTCTCTTCTGTATGCAAGGTATTTTGTGAGGAACTGTACAAACTGGCAAAGTGATAACTACGAAATTATGATTAAAAAAAATCATGATCAAAATCGTGAATACAGGCTGTTACAAATTCGCTTCTCACTACAGGGATCTCGAAAACGGTAAGAGATACATACAAATTAGCTTAAATGGGGGCAAATTTGTGTAATCAGGGGACCAACATTATGCCTTTAAAAAAATCTGGGCTAACATGATTGGTTTTCGAAATATTTGAAAAAAAATCGAAATTTTGGAAATCCGTTTTTGTTACGTTACATATAAAAATTGATTATGCCATTCGATAGAGGGAAAAAAGTGGCCATGAGAAAGTGTTCTTCTTTTTTCAATATCACCTCAAACAAGGCTGAAATGAAACAAAAACGGATTTCCAAAATTCCATTTTCCAACATTTCGGTTTTTTTCAAATATTTCGAAAACTAATCATGTTAGCCTTGATTTTTTTGTAACAGCCTGTATACAGGGTGATATATGAATGTTCAGTAAAACTTTGATTACCTTTTGTGGAAATTTACTTATATTTTTTACACAATTTACCACTGAAGAGGAACAAACACGAATTCAGATTTTCAAAATTCTAGGACAGTATTGAGAAATTTCCTATTTGTGATCACTGAGAGAAGTGGACCCTGTGCATTTTTTCTGTTGTTTCATTTGTTTTTTGACGCAGTTTCTTTGACTTTTGAGTTCGCGATAAATTTTTGGAAATATTTTCTTTAATCAGCTTTTCAATATTATTTTGGAGAACAGTTAGATCTAATATTTGAAGGATATTTCAGTATTCATATTAGGTTGAATACTAGATTAAACAATTAGGTTTTTTACTAATAATGATGTTATTTATTACCTATAGACAGAGAAATATATGACAATAATTGAACATTATTAAGTAAAGCTAACAATTATTTTCATTTTCTGTAAGAAAATGAGAAAGGTATTTTTACTTACCAAGTACATATCTGCATACTCTTCAGTTGTAAATAAATGCGTTTTTTATTTAGCATTTTAACGCTAAGGGTTAAATGAATAAACAAAATGACACAAATAATAATTATTGTTAAAGCAACCGTCTTTCTTCTAATTTGATTGAAATATGAAATTATATATTCTAAAATGTTTGTAACTTCTAAACAATACGATTCGGGCCTATGTTCATATAAGAAAGAATGTTTGAAGTTAACCCAGCTGCCCGTTGTCAAAATATTCAATTGATAACACAGGCCCACAAAAAAGTATCGGATCTAGTATTCAGGCCCTTGCATCCCCATGTATTTTTTTCCGCTGAATCCGAATCTGCCTTCAGATCTGGCCCAACGGGTCTGAGTTTTCGGGAAAATTCAAAAAACAGGTCAAAATTCACAAAAAACGTCATTTACGATCGACGAAAGTTATGAAAAATCAAATAATTCTACCAGCCGATTTTTGTTGGTTGTTAAAAAGAAAAACGATAAATAGAGGGACTTAACGAAAGCGTTATAACAACAAAAATAAGAATGATTTATAGATATCGTCTTCTTTTGTTTAGAAAGTAGAGTATTCTACAAGTTTTATTGCATTCTCAATCTTCTATGCTGTTATCTCATCTCTCAGTACAAAAAGTAGATGGATAGATGGGTGGTCGGGTGGGTTTTATAGGTGGTACAGGTGGACGAATAAATATGCGTATTCATGCATGAACGACTGGATAGAAAGATGTATGAATTCATAAATGGGTGGGTGGATAAAAAGATGGATCCAGAACTCTGCANGTTGCAGATTAATAAATGTATTACCAAAATTTCTTTGATCTCTAATTTGTGACAAAAATATCACTCATGATTTTAAATCACTGGTCTATACACCCTCAACATGTTCTACGAAATAATAGAAATAGGAGTAGTCACAAACGTGATTTTTTTCATTACCCTGCGGAATTTTGCAGTTTTAACTTTAAGGGCCTGTTAGCCTTCTATAGTGCAGGGTCAAAATAAATTAATTCATACAAATGGTGATAGCCAATATATATATTTTTTAATTCATGGTTCACCGTGTATACTTCTTTCTATGTTAAACCAATTTCTTTAATCATTTTGAAGAACACGTTTACATCACCATAAACGAATTGATTATAAAATTTATATCGAGTGCGGCTTTTGTAATATGTAATACGAAGCTGTTCTAATTTTTCAAATGGATCTTTAAAGACACACATTATATATTCTTAGGTAAGAGTACCGCGGCCTTAAAAAACTAATCACTCTCGACAGTCAGATATTTTTGCTTCTATAACAGTTATTACCATTAGTAGGGTAATAAAATCTGCTGTTAAATAACGTGTTCTGATATGCCGACGACTAGAAATGAAAGTTAATAAGGCGTTACGGGTCTGTCTTTAAATCGTTCACTTCTGCCGAATTATTGTGTGTAAGATGTGCCCCTTATTTTCATCTAATAATAATTCGTGCAAATTCCTGTAGGTTGCTACATATTAAGCTATAATTCAAATAATTTGCAAATCTTACCTCACGAAAACACTTTCTTTGACTAGCAAGTCTGCCATCGATTTCGATAGACTGAAATGGCGATCAAATAATTCTAACTAACATATAAAAACTCTGCTTTATTGGCAATTTTATGCTTCTTTCTGTAACCGTAAAACTATAATTTTATATATTAATTTAGATACAGACATTCGCTACGATCTTAAAAAGATAATTTATTAATCACTTTGCATCAATTACTTATCGAAATTGGTGGTAATTGTGTCTAATTAATTATAATTACATATTTATTAACTGGTAATATCACCATGTTTTTAAATACTGAAAGGTGGTTAAACAGAAACAGACGGCATCGGACAACAGAATAATTTAGCACTTTGTGTTTAATTATCGAATAAATAAAGAGTGATGTGGAAGTCGTAAATGTATATATGAAATATAATTAGAATGCTTTTAGTATGGTCTTTGGGTTCTTGGTATACCACACATTAAGAATAATTGCTAAATTTTGACGTCAGCAAAGTAACTATATACATATACGAGGTGATCCTTAAGTACGTTTCGATAATAAGGGGGTGATTCCTCAGTTAATTCTAAGAAAAAGTTCTTATGAACATACGCTTTAAGCAGCGTAGTTTCCATGTGTATGGGTAATTTTAAAAAATGGTTTTTGCTTATGGAACGGGGGCGAGGGAGGATAGTAATCTGATATATGGCACAAAACTGAGGAATTGATAAAGCTGAATGTGTTCAAGAAGTTCGGTTATTTTCTAAACAGACCTCGTATATATTTGTTGAGAAAATAATGGTCCGCCACTGATTTTGAAAGCAAATCCTTAAAGTTTCATTAAAATCTCTACTCCTCTTAATCATCGTATGTTATATACATTCTAGAATACCGACAGTGTTATAAAAATACTTTTGTATGATTCTATTATGCAATTTCTTATATTCTTTACATTATCCATCGGCGTTGCATATACTAAAGTTGTCCCCAAAGGAAGTAATCAAGGATATTTAAATCTGGTAACATGGTTGGTTTGGCCGAACTATGTCAAATATTGTGTACAAACATTCCCGAATCACTAAACTACAATGAATAGACGAAAAACGGTCCATTTACCATACATTAGTTGTTGTGACGTAGCCTATGTATCTGGTCACCTCTACATACAGACTTCCATGACACTTCCTTAGCCTTAGCTATAAATCTTTGACCTGTCCTTGTTGTTCTCGGGCTAGGTTCTGTGGGGGCGGACGCGCTATCAGAGCCACTAGACCGACCTTAATGTTCATTTTGATTGTTAGTTCTAAGGCGTCTAGTAGGCCAGGAAAAAGAGCTGGGAAATGACCATTTCGCGACTTTTTGTTTCGGCAAGCTGAATTTTGACTATAAATGCTAAATATTATGTACAATAACATATTAGTTTCCACAGTCATAAAAATGAGGGGAAGATTGTTTACAGGGTGGTTAATTGTGTAATTTTTACGTAAATTCACGTTTTTCGCTTATAACTTTTCTCCGTTCATTTCCACGAGAAAACAGTGAAGTACTTTTTCTTTCGTCTTTAAAAGACCTACAAAACTAGCTCTCAAACGTCAAAGAATATTGATTAGATCAAAAGTCATATACAGAAGAAGTTAATTTATGACTTTTGAATTAAACATTTATAAACTGCGTTATTATTACCAGAACGTTTTGGCATCGCATCCTCACATTCCTAATCTAATCTAATAACTCACACGAAATCTGGAATCGGTAAGTTGAATAGTTTACAAGTTATTGCCTTATAAACAAATTAACTAATTATTCGTCTGGACGATCCCGAGCATCTTCCACAATTGCACCGATTTTTTTCATGGTAGATTTCATAATAATACATTGAAATCTATCATTTTTTTTTAAATTTTAAATTTGCAACATTGAAAGTTTTTTATTTTTTAGCCTTAGTTGCAAAATGAAATATTCGACGCACGCGCGTGATATCGTTATTTATTACATATTCGGAAAGCTTAAGAATAGAGCTTTAAGTTAAAAAAATCGTTAAGATTCGTTGAAAAATAACGGAGTTATAGACTGTCAAAGTTGACGGCCTATTGTGAAACAAATTAGGTTGGTAGCGGCAAAAAAAAATACTGTCATAACCGACAACCCTAGTACTTTCCCAGATAAAAATATTTTATTTGTGGAAGTATGTTAAGTGCATAAGAAATATTGTCAANGAGGATCTTCCGCAATTGCACCGATTTTTTTCATGGTAGATTTCATAATAATACATTGAAATCTATCATTTTTTTTTAAATTTTAAATTTGCAACATTGAAAGTTTTTTATTTTTTAGCCTTAGTTGCAAAATGAAATATTCGACGCACGCGCGTGATATCGTTATTTATTACATATTCGGAAAGCTTAAGAATAGAGCTTTAAGTTAAAAAAATCGTTAAGATTCGTTGAAAAATAACGGAGTTATAGACTGTCAAAGTTGACGGCCTATTGTGAAACAAATTAGGTTGGTAGCGGCAAAAAAATACTGTCATAACCGGCAACCCTAGTACTTTCCCAGATAAAAATATTTTATTTGTGGAAGTATGTTAAGTGCATAAGAAATATTGTCAAGTCAGTGGGTCACTTGATTTTCGGCGAGCCGTGGCGCGGCGGAAGGGTGGGGGAAGCGAACGACAGTGAGTCCGAAGAAAATGACGATAATATTCATAGTCCTGCCGTTAAAAAAGCAAAATTCGCTGGAAAATAATATATTTGATAATCTGCAACTCCGTTGTTTTTCAAAAAATCTTGACGATTTTTTTTTAACTTAAAGCTATTCTGATAAGCTTTCCGAATATGTAATAATATATAACTATATCACGCGCGTGCGTCGTATATTTCATTTTGCAACTACGGCTAAAAAATAAAAAACAATTCCAGGTTGCTTTGAAATTAAAAAAAATAAAATGATTGATTTCAATGTATTATCATGAAATCAACCATGAAAAAAATTAGTGCGATTGTGGAATATGCTCGGGATCGTCCAGACTAATAATTAGTTAATTTGTTTATAAGGCCATAACTTGTAAACTATTCCAGATTTCGTCTGAGTTATTAGACAGTGATAAGGAATGTGAGGATGCCATGCCAAACGTTCTGGTAATAATAACGCAGTTTGTAAATATTTATTTCAAAAGTCATAAATTAACTTCTTCTGTTTATAACTTTTGATCTAATCAATATTTTTTTACGCTCGAGGGCTAGTTTTGTAGTAAAAAAAAAGACGAAAAAAAGTATTATACTGTTTTCTCGTGGAAATGAACGGAAAAAACTTATAGGCGAAAAACGTGAATTTACATAAAAAATTATACAATTAACCACCCTGTAAACAATCTTCCCCCATTTTTATGACTGTGGAAACTAATATGTTATTGCACATAATATTTAGCATCTATAGTGATAAATTCAGCTTGCCGAAACAAAAAGTCGCGTCCAACTCTATATTTCCTAGCCTATAGGAACAGCCATACTTTAAATACCAGCATGGGCTGCGAAATCCGTAAAACCCCTAAGGTAATCTCCAATTATACTCATCCAACCGTTTAATGAGACCTGATGTTTGTAATTAACTTCTCTTGTCGCGCGAGATTTTTCTTATGTCCATTGATGGTTGTCNTTGATTAGATCAAAAGTTATAAACAGAAGAAGTTTATTTATGACTTTTGAATTAAACATTTATAAACTGCGTTATTATTACCAGAACGTTTTGGCATCGCATCCTCTCATTGCTTATCACTGTCTAATAACTCACATGAAATCTGGAATCGGTAAATTGAATAGTTTACAAGTTATTGCCTTATAAACAAATTAATTAATTATTAGTCTGGACGATCCCGAGCATCTTCCACAATTGCACATATTTTTTTCATGATAGATTTCATAATAATACATTGAAATCTATCATTTTTTTTTTAATTTCAAATTTGCAACATGGTAAGTTTTTTATTTTTTAGCCTTAGTTGCAAAATGAAATATTCGACGCACGCGCGTGATATCGTTGTATATTACATATTCGGAAAACTTATGAATAGAGCTTTAAGTTAAAAAAAATCTTCAAGATTCGTTGAAAAACAACGGTGTTACAGACTGTTAAAGTTGACAGCCTATTGTTAAACAGATTAGGTTGGTAGCGGCAAAAAAAATACTGTCATAACCGACAACCCTAGTACTTTCCCAGATAAAAATATTTTATTTGTGGAAGTATGTTAAGTGCATAAGAAATATTATCAAAAATCAGTGGGTCGCTTGATTTTCGGCGAGCCGTGGCGCGGCGGAAGGGTGGGGGAAGCGAACGACAGTGAGTCCGAAGAAAATGACGATAATATTGATAGTCCTGCCGTTAAGAAAGCGAAATTCGCTTGAAAATAATATATTTGACAGTCTGTAACTCCGTTATTTTTCAACGAATCTTGACGATTTTTTAACTTAAAGCTCTTTTCATAAGCTTTCCGAATATGTAATAATATATAACTATATCACGCGCGTGCGTCGTATATTTCATTTTGCAACTAATGCTAAAAAATAAAAAAAAATCCAGGTTGGAAATTTGAAATTTAAAAAATAAAATGATAGATTTCAATGTATTATCATTAAATCAACCATGAAAAAAATTAGTGCGATTGCGGAAGATGCTCGGAATCGTCCAGACTAATAATTAGTTAATAACTTGTAAACTATTTAACTTACCGATTCCAGATTTTATGTGAGTTATTAGACAGTGATAAGGAATGAGAGGATGCGATGCCAAAACGTTCTGGTAATAATAACGCAGTTTATAAATATTTAATTCAAAAATCATAAATAAACTTCTTCTGTTTATAACTTTTGATCTAATCAATATTTTTTGACGCTCGAGGGCTAGTTTTGTAGGTCTTTTGAAGACGAAAAAAGTACTATACTGTTTTCTCGTGGAAATTAACGGAAAAAACTTATAAGCGAAAAACGTGAATTTACATAAAAAATTATACAATTAACCACCCTGTGAACAATCTTCCCCCCATTTTTATGACTGTGGAAACTAATATGTTATTGCACATAATATTTAGCTTCTATAGTGATAAATTCAGCTTGCCGAAACAAAAAGTCGCGTCCAACTTTATATTTCCTGGCCTATAGGAACAGCCATATTTTAAATACCAGCATGGGCTGCGAAATCCGTAAAACCCCTAAGGTAATCTCCAATTATACTCATCCAACCGTTTAATGAGACCTGATGTTTGTAATTAACTTCTCTTGTCGCGCGAGATTTTTCTTATGTCCATTGATGGTTGTCAATTTCTTTAAAATTAAAGAGACCCTTCAGTAAAAATAATGTGACCTTCAGTTAATTTGTAAAGTACCAATTGACAAAAGTTCAATTGAGGACAATCATCTGGTTATTACCAGATGATTACCAGAGCATTATTATACTTGCATTCACTGAATATGGTACTAGTAAAACTGATAATACTATAAAATTGGTAATTGAATAATACTTTGGTAATAAAAATAAATTGGTAATTAATTGAAAAATGTTTTAAAATTGTTTGGTGTTTTACATTAAATAAAGCACCCCCTTTTTCGGGTAGTTCGTTAAGTACAGCCTCTTTCAATTGAGGTGTTGCAACTATTTTATGTTTTGGTTAAGGCTTGAAGCCTCTGATGGCATCTTAATATATCCTTAAGAACTTGTTTTCAAATTTTGATATCCACTTAGGACATACAGGGTCGGAAAGTCCCCATGGTTCATCGGCCGTTACGTGAGAGCGATAAAATAAGTTATAGAAATCCGTACGATAGAGAAAGATGGCTATAATGAAGGCGTCTAATAGCCACCGCCCATTTCGTCCTTCCACAAATAAGAAGTGGATCTTATATTCACAGGACCTTTTTCCTTATAATTAACTAAGAAATTACACCTTTATTATCGGAATGTTCTTAAGGACCGTATGAAGTTTAGAAGAAATTATTTTTTGCACTCCTTGAACTACAAGTGCTAATTTTATCATTATTTTCAAGGATTAAAGTAAACAAATCTCACACTTAGAATTAAAACTAAATAATTAAAGCTAAATTTAGCTCCCAGAGAGCGTTGCTTTTAAATTGTTGTTTTATCTGCAACTTCACGGTAGATTTCGTAAAAAAATAGTTTTTTAAATTTTTTTTTAGTGAAGAGTTCCATTTATTTCAATTTCCATTTGAAATAATATTTTTTTAAATATCACCGACATAATACACTGTATTTTTAATGTTCTATTTTGGTAACCTCCAAGAATCGAAATCTCTGCATCTTTAATTTTGGCAAGCGATAATAATACATTCAATATATAACATTTAATTAATAATTGGTCATAATACTGGACGTGTTACCTGTTCTTTTTTTGCACTAAAATATATAAATAATATAATTACTGCTGCTAATTATGACATATACCATGCTACAAATTGTTACTGGCTGTTATTAACCTCCTTAAGGATAATTTAGATTAATAATTGGTATTGATATATCGACTATGACTTTCTTCCACTCAACTAGAAAAGTATAGGTTGTCTTTTGGCGTGGTATTTATGAAAGGTATATATTAATTCTATTGAAGAGTCTTAGGGTTTTAGCAAGGTAACAAGGTAGTAGTTATATTTAATGTTTCTTGTATGTAAAAAATAACCTTGAGCATTTTTTAAATAACAAATCGAAGTATTCTGTTAATGCATCAAATTATTTAGCGATAGTTAAGTCCTGCTTTTTTATTACTTTCTGTATAAGTTTTCCACTTAACTTTTTACAGATTTGTCCAAAAATTTACGCTAAAAATATCGAGGGAAACGATTCGAACAACAACTTCCAGATTCAACCACCACAGCAAACACCTTCAAATCTTAGGATTCCAAAGAAATTAAATGACATAGTATCTTCCATACACCAAAAATCGAAAGAGGCTTTTCACATTAGGGAAAATGATTCTAGATTGGACGCTCTTTCATTCGATGCATTCGGTGTAAGCAATCTAAAAGCCTGCGACACGCTGAGGCAAGTAATTTCCAAAAAAATTGAAAACGTATTCAACTTGACCACGACCAAATTCCAAGAAGATAATCAACACATTTCAGTTAATAAAAGTATACAACCGAATGTAAAAAACAATGCAAATAAAGATATTGTCTTTAATACAGTTAAAGAAACTGTAATTAATACAAAGAAGGAAGTTGTTGCTAAAGATAAGACTCCAAAATTTCTGCCAAGTGATGTAATTAGAGACAGTAATTCCAATCATTCCACAAGCAATGACGGAGAGATTGACAAACAGTATGAGGAAAACAAAACTGAATCTAGTGACAGCAAAGAAAAGCCCTTCAAATGTGAAGATTGTGCTAAATGCTTTAGTCAACTGAGGAATTATAAATACCACAGGTAAGTTCTTCTTCTTCTTTTGTATTCATTTTTTGTCACTATTTTCCTTTTCACTTATTTAATTCGTCTATTTGTTAATTCCTGTTACAGCTCCTATAGCTTGAATTTTCCTTAAAAATTTCCTTCTTCAACGTTATTCCTGTGTATAATTTTGATAGTTTTGCTGATAAAAATACAATGAGAATAACGTTCTTTTTAGTGACACTGTTCCATTAATATCAAAAGAACTGCTATCTTTGTCTACAAACTCTGATGAATCATTAACAACTTTCTTGGTTTCGCAACTAAAAACCTTAATATATTAAATTTTAGAAATCATTATGTCACAAATATTTCTTCTCACAATAACATAATAGTTACGTTATGTAAATTGGTAAGTAGTAGAACCTGATTTGTTAGTGTCTGTCCTTGAATGTTTTTTTTTGCCTTGTTAGTGTTACGAACCATCACAATTTACATCAAATACCTTTATATAAAAAACTCAAGCCTACTTCATTCAAGTATCGGAGAAAAAAACTCCTACAAAGCCAATTACGATACAAAATTGAAGAGGATTAGGCGAGTGTTCTAGTGATTTCATCCTCAGTCACACGTCAAACAACTTAATAAAACAAACGCTTTGACTAATAAGTGTAAACATTAAAGCTGAATATACTAACGGCACTTCTGCTTCTCTATTATAATGGGAGGGTATAATATTTTCTTAAAATATTCGAATTGCTGATTAACGGTTGGTCAGTGTTAACAGGACTAATTTGAAATTTAATGGTGACCGATAGTTGAAGGTACAGTTTTAGCTCAGTATATGACGGTTTTTAGGTCCGAATTCTTGACACATGCACTGATTGACGTGAAATTTTAACAATAAATAGAAAATTGATCAAGAAACAAAAGTTACATAGTGCCGATGCGTGCTTTCACCCTGGGGGGTGAAGAATAAAGGGTGGATTTTAAGGGTTGAAATGTTGCTACAAATCAAAAATTATTATTCAAAGCATAAAACAATGTTTATTCTATTGGCATAACACTCAAATCTATGGTTTTTACGTTTTTTGCAAGAAGGGGTAGTTTTCACCCCCTAAAAACAATAAGCATACAATATGGATATGTAACTTTTGTAAAGGAGGGTGAAATGAGCTTACTCACCAATTTAGGTAATACCCTATTTTTACCGTTGTATACTGGACTATTTAAACTTCAAAAATAATAAAAGAGCAATAATAAAAAAGAGATTGTAAGATAAAGGATCTCAAATTGCATTTAAAGCGTTTTATTACAAAATTTGTTACAATTGTTTCCGTAGATTGTTTTTTTTTTATAAAATCGGTCTTACACTTGTAAGTTTCATAAAATTTGGTCAATATTTTACATTTTTAATATATTTTATATCAGGCTTTTTTCGAAAAACATAAAAGAGTAGTAATTTGTAGAAAATTGAAAGACGAATCCAAAAATATCACGATCGTTACCATAAATCAGTGGCGTAGGTACTATTTTATTTAGAAACATATACCACCGATCATCTTCGCCACTGGATCATCTAAATTTTAGTAAAAGGCCTCAGATTTTGGACAATATTTACATACATACATGTGCCCAATGTCAAATTATTTCACTTACTAGTTTTTAAATTATTTAAAGAAATTAAAAACATTTTTTCACTTTAACATACTGTATCTTTCTAATAAAAACTTTATAGGAAAAACTCCCCTTAAAATTCACCAAAGAATACGAGGTTTCAATTTTGGTCACGGTTCATTCAATCACCCTTTATTTTATCTCAGTTTCTATGCGCGTAAAATATGAGGTAATAATAAAAATTATTTATAGTAAATAGATTAGGCGTTAGGTGAAAACTATTAAAATCACTTTGATTTACGGATTAGAAATGGATAATGAATTATTATTAATAATAATTATTATTATTAGGTATGTGAAATGACTTTTTAAGATCTTCAGCTGCAGCAGGTGTGAGCTTTAATTTAATAAATATGTGTGGGCATCTACTCGTATTAAAATATATTTTGCAACTATTAAGATGTAAAAGAACAACGATTGATTTTATTAACAATAATTTATTTCTATCAAAAATTATATCTTAGCTACTGGAATTCGTTTAATTATTTATTATTTACAACTTCATCTAAGAATAAACCTACTTTGGTTTAAATGTCAATATTTTTTTTTGTAAAAAAAAAGTCGTCAACACTGTCAAATGTGAAATAGGTCTAATTTTAATCATGCAAAATTTGAAGGTAATAGCTCTCAATGTTTGTCTAATTTTTTTTATAAAGAAAAAAATGTTCTGTAACTATAATGCGATGAAGAAACCATTTTTCATCTCAGTAAAATGACTTTATCGATACGAAATAACAAATTGTTTCGACGTATGCTGTGCTTATCTAAAAAATGTTGTCGCCAACTAATTAATTTATGATATGAAGAATATTTTAACTCGTTTACTCTCAGAAAGAAATTAATGTTATTATCTCACTACTGTTATGTATATTTCGTGTTTAGGTGACAAGCTGAATGATTAATTATAGGCTGAAAACAGCTTCTTGAAATATTTAAGTTTAAAAATATTGTATGGAGATTATTTAATATATGTTCCCACATATAATGACTTTAGATATAATATTTTTCATAAAGATAATAAACCACAGGGCCCGCCTTAACAAATTCATTACTTCTTACATATATTTCATAGGTTTATATTATGACAGTAGTTAAACTTTACAAATTAATTTCTTTTGGGCTTACAATTAGATACAAATCGTCTAAATTATCACTGCATCTTTAACTTCTCTCTTCAACTTCATCTTGTCTGCCTTTCATTCTATTAATTAACTTATCTCTGCATATCTACGTCTATCTACCAATTGCTATCCTTTTACTCTTTTTCTCTTCATACAATCTGTTTGTCTTAATGGTTCTTTTCACTATCGTTTTACTGCAATTTTTATTAAATTATTAGTTTCCATTGCATTGTTATGACTGTTAAATTGAAATCTGTGGGAACAATTAAATAAAAGACATTTTTCTCAAAACTCATCCATTTGAATCCAATTGAAAACCAAATTAGATACTCCTGAAAAAACAAAACAATGTCTTTTTAGGTCGGTGCACGAAGGAACCAAAGAATTTGCAGCGAAGTGCCCAGAATGCGGAAAGATCTTCAACGACAAAGGCTACCTCAGCAGTCACATGAAGATACATCGAGACAAGAAGGAGTACGCCTGTCCCCACTGTCCAAAGCGATTCAATCAAAGGGTGGCTTACAACATGCACCTGAGGATTCACACAGGTGAGTGTTGGTTTAATCTTTTAAATATCTACATAGTAAAGGATTGACATTTTAGTTTCGTCTTTATGTACCTCTAACATGGGGTTGACCGACACTATTACCGAGATCTTTGTGTATTAACCAACATACTAGAAACATATATCAAAATTAAAAACATCTCAAGCTGTTTAGACATTTATTTTTTTTTAACTTTGGAAACTTTATCGTTTAAACGACGACCTTATGTATTTATTTAACCAAATTATCTTCATTTTAATCATAAAATACGTCCCTGTGTTTTTTTGCACGCGCCAAGAAAACACCCTGTATGTTACAATGGACGACGCCAACAGCAAAACAAATTCCGAGCCGCATTCTAAGAGCACAAGTAAACAAATCAGTTATTTTTAGCAACATTCATCCCGATCAACAAGAGATACTTATTAAAAAAATAGGTCCCGTTACCAGTCTGTTTAACTAACATTATTTGTTATAATACAAACAGGGGCATATAACAAATTACCTAAAATTAACACCTACGTGTTACATTTAACAAGTGGCGTGTTTTATACAAATAAGTATCGAAATTATTTATGTGATAATGCGGTGACTAAAACGTCATTGATTTGTGACCCGTTTTCCAATTGTGAAGCCTCGACTTCGAACTAATTTTAAATGTTTCTGTTTCTTGTTTACATTGGGTTTGGAATTTGATTCTATAATTAGGTATATTTCGCGTTAGTTTCCAAAAATATATAAATGTATTTTACAAGTTATACTTGGACAACCTCTTTAGAGGAGTTATGTCAATTCTCCTTTTTAAATCTGGACCTGGAAGTTTTAAAGAAACATTCGTGGATCAAAACTTCTTTACTAAAGTTTTGTAAAGTAATTGCCATTGATACTTTACAATAAAAAATTTTACCTTTATTTTACAACTCAATTTTTTGTTGGGTATTTTTCTTTTTAGACAAGGCGAAAACCTCGCATTCGTGGAAGAAATTTTCCGACTCGATTTTTTTGCATATTCAGATTCGCGAGATGTTCCTCAACATGAATCAAGATAATGCCGGCCGGAAATCTAGTGCCCATTTGTTTAAACAAACTTTTTTTAAACAAATTGTAAAAATTGGTTTTTTCACTCCGGAAAACAAAAAAGTTCCTATGCACTATGCCTCTAAAATTGATAGTTTTAAAGTTATAAATAATTTAAGTTGCCAAAAATGCGAAAATGACGATTTTCAACGGCCGATTTCCGGGTTAAAAATTGTTATTTTTGATGTTGCCAGGTACCTAAATTAAAGTTTAAACATCTCCCTACAAGATGCTGAAGAGTTTTTGGAATTCGCATTATTCTAAAACCTTGTTTTATAATTGTTAATAAAGCGCTATGAACCGCGCGCGCGCCTCTCTCATACGCGGATTCGCCATTTCGGAGTGAAAAAACCAATTTTTATAATTTGTTTAAAAAAAGTTTGTTTTAACAAATGGACACCAAATTTCCGGCCGGCATCATCTTGATTCATGTTAAGCAACATCTCACGAATCTGAATATGTAAAAAAATCTAGTTGGAAAATTTCTCCCACGAAATGCGAGGTTGTCTATTTGTCAAAAATCGGAAATCCAACTTTTTGCAATTATGATTCTACATCTACCTCATGGGTTTTTAATTTGAACTAGAAATTTAATTCTAACACCAGTACGCGTGCCTCCGACTTCTTCAAACCGGTTTGGTATTATTTGAAACCCACTCGGAAGGTAACTTAATTTATAAGTACTTACTTGACGGGCTCTGTAATCGTTTTGTATCCTTGTATCTCCTTTTCTTTGTTACTATACCGCCAGGCAATTTATTTCCTATCAGATTAATTGGCAGTGTAACTAATATTGAAGATCTAGTATTACTTTAGGTACAGATTCAAATTGCTCTTCAATACAGGGTGTCCCAGATTATACAATACTTCCAAACTGCATATAAATTATCGAAATATTCTTTGTTAAAATGTCAATGCGTGATCTAAAATTATCAGTTGTTTTATTTCCACTTACATTAAAATCGTCATTAACAAAAACTGTAATCACATTATTTTCATTTTCAATAAGAAAGATTTTATGAAAATCCAATTTTGGTATTCTATTTGGAAAGTTTTTCTATAACTAGGTACTTTATTGTGGTACCCTTTGATCTCTGTAGAGTCTACTAGTATTCTTAGAATTCGAAAATTTCAACTCTCTCGCTACTATGATCACGTGGATTCTCACACTGTTTCTGGCTACCTCTGGTTGTTGGTCGTCATATCGGAGATCAATTTTAAAAATCGTAACGGAGGTGATTTGTTGATATTCGTTGCTCGTAGTCAGCGGCCACATCAACGATCTAACAAGTAAATTTTTTTTTTGTTGTAAATGTTTTTGATTCATGACTTTCCGCTTCTAAAGAAAAATATGCCGCATATGAAAAAACTCAGATCATAAAACTTTGCGATTGGAAAACAGAACTTTGCCGAGCAGATGTTTCATAAGGATTATTCCCTATAAAACCACTATAAATCACGCCTTGAAATATAGGCATGAAATTAAAGAACAGCCTGTACACTTCTTCGAACACGTTCTGTGTAGGGCTATAAATTAATGAGAATTTATTACAATTTATGGGCTAACGCCTTTATATTAATGTTCTACCTGAATGATAAAGTTAACAGTTACTACATGTCTGTCCACTGCAGTTAGTGAAAAGAAATGTTATTTTCAACGGTAGTTCAAGGTCGTGTGACCATAGCATGAACAAAAAAATGTAAATGTGCCTGTGGTTAGAGTAGAGGTCAGCTTGATTCGACGGCTTCCAAAATGTAAGTTAAGGTTGTGCCTCGACAAATTACGTACCTACTCATCATCATTACTACCGCTTCCAAAACAAATTATGAGATTTGATCGTGATAATTCATTTCAAGAATATGAAAGAAAAGTTACATTAACAGTATTAGTCCAGTCGCTGAAGCATTTTGGCTACTATTTTTTCGGATGGAATGGATTGACGTGAAATTTGAACTGTAGCTAGGGTAGCCCAAGAAACAAAAGTTATATAGTGCCGATGTATGCTTTAAGGGGTGGATGCCACCCTTTCTGGAGGGTGGGAATTTGTTTATTAAAAATAACCTCACGATTCGATAGAGGGACTTTCTATAAGAATTTTTTGTAGTCAATACTTTTTGAGTTATTTGCGCCTAAACATGTTCGTTTTTAGCCCAAAAAATGCATGTTTTTGCACCATTTTTCACGAATATCTTAAAAACCACAAGTTATGATAAAAAAAATTAATCGCATTTTTTCTTTAAAATTTTCGGTGCGGGTAAATTACCATCATCTTTGTGTATTTTAGAGCACTTGTGAACTGATTTGAGTAAGTATTTTAATAATATACATACACACATGTATCCATTTATAATGTATATAATTGTTTTTTATTTTATATAAATTTAATTAAAAAATGTTAAGAATAAATTAAATAAAATTAAAAAAATAATAATTATATCATCTTCCATATAATTTTTTAGAAATTTTTCTATAAGGGGTAGAGTTTTTTATGAGGGGTAGGTCTTCCATAAGGATTTTTTGGGTGGCTGAAAAGTTGCAATATATCATATATCATTTGAAAATGCATAAAAAGTTTATAATTCAACATGCATACTATTAAAACATCTCAAGTTTTCAATAATATTTTATTTTATTATAAGGGATGGTTTGCAACTTTGTAATGAGTCGTAAGCTTTCTAATGAATAACAAAAGAAATGCAATACATTTTGAATGCACCAAAAGAATATTTTAAACTGTTAAAAACTTTTTTCTACTTTTTTGGCCATTGAAGGTTAGTTTTAAGGATTTTTAAGGGTTGAAAAGTAATTAAATTTCATAAATTATACAGGGTGGTCCGAATTTTAAGCAGGAAACTTCAAGGACAGATAGATCTCTTTAAAATAATAGGAGTTTGCCTTATAAACATAGGTCTGGAACGGCCTCGTTTTAGAGATACAGGGTGTTGAAGTTGTTAAAAAATATATATTTTTTGTTTATATCTCAGGAATGTATTAACCGATCTCAATAAAATTTGGTACAAATAATGTACGATAGTAGGTCTTGCATTCCCTAAAATATGAGCTCTAAAGGTTTAACCAGTGGTGTACAGCTGGACAGGGGTCACCCCCTTTCTATAAAAAAAACCTACGCCACTCTATTTTTTACAAGTTATTGTAACGGATTTATATTCTAATGCACTACATAAGTAAAAAATGTGACCTGAATTTTTTCCCTAAGGTTCACCATTTTCAAGTTATTCATACAAATACAATCCTCTTGTGGCAGACACTTCAATCATAATATTACAAAAATATTTATGTTTATGCATAAAAGTAAGTGCAATTTGTAAGCACATCAACAAAATTCTTTCCACATCACTTGTGAGGTAGTGTTCCTGGTGTGTTTTAGTTTTCCCTGGAGGAATTATCTTTACAAATAAGAACAATTTAAATCAAAATAATAATAAAAATACATGTATTTTACCAAGCAACAACAACTAAACAAGAAACAAAATTAACGTTAAGTATTTACAGCAATTGTTTAAAATTCGAACCACCCACATCGATACATTTCTGACATTTTCTATTAATGGAACTAATTGAAGCTCATATCATGTGGTGGTTTTCTTTTAATTCATTATACCTGTCTTCTATTCGCTGCATTAGTTGTGGTCTAGTATTGGAGTAGAGTAAACTTTTCAAGTAGGTCACCCCAAACATAGAAGTCCAGGGAGTTTAGATCTGGCGATCTGGCTGGCCAAGACACTGGACCCTCGGCACCATTATGGTTGACATTGGCATTTAGTCTTCTACCTATCCATCATCTCATATAGTTTTCATTAAGAAATTCTTGTATTATTCTCCCAAAATGCGCAGGAGCACCATCCATTTGTATCCAGCTATTTTGTCGTACTTATGTTTAATGGAACATCCCATAATAATTCAAATAGATGGTTTTCTAGAAAGTTTAGAAATGACTCCGAATTTCATGAGGATTTTCTTGTAACCAAATATCCAGATTGTGAAAATTTACTACCCCTCGCCTTGTGAACTTAGTCTCATCGGTCCAAAGTATTTCTGGTAAGAATTCAAACAACTACTGATACAAATTCAGGCGTCTCTATGCATCTCCCGGAAGTAAATTTTGCACACGTTGTAAATGGTACGGATTTCTGCCATCCTTACGTAGAACTTTTCAAATTTTCAATTTACTCACCCCAAGTTGCCGAGACGTTCTTCGTGTACTTAGCCGAGGATCGTCGTCAAATGCTTTTAAAATTTCATTTCTGTGCCTTTCATTCCTTTGTCGTGATTTTCCAAATATTGTTTTAATCCAAAAATATGAAAGCGATAAGTGTAAAGAATTTTGTTGATGTGCTTACAAATTGCACTTACTTTTAAGCATAAACATAAATATTGTAATTTGTAATATGGTTAGAAGTGTCTGCCGCAAGAGGATTGTATTGGTATGAATAACTTGAGAACGGTGAACTTTAGGGAAAAAATTCAAGTTACCTTTTTTACGTATTTTATGTATTAGAATATAAATTCGGTACAATAGCTTGTAAAAAATACAGTGGCGTAGGTTTTTTTTATAAAAAAGGGGCGACCCTGTCCAGTTGTACACCACTGGTTGGACCTTTAGAGCTCATATTTTAGGGAATACAAGGCCTACTATCACACATTATCTGTACTAAATTATATTGAAATCGGTTGATGGATTCCGGAGATATAAACAAATAATCAATTTTTTTTAACAACTTCAACACCCTGTATCTTTAAAACGAGGCCGTTCCGGACCTATGTTTATAAGGCAAACACCCACTATTTTAAAGAGATATATCTGCCCTCGAAGTTCCCTGCATAAAATTCGGACCACCCTGTATTAAAAAAACATGAAAGGGACTTTATCCGACATATTTGAACATGAATTGAATCTTTAAAATACGTAAATCTGCGATTTTCGCATTTTTTTCGTACAAGGGTAGTTGTCACCCCCAAATAAAAAAACACACACATCTAGACAACATAACTTTTGAAGTAGGGGGTCAGATGAGCTTGTATGCAAATTTTCAGGAAAATCCATGCTATCCGAAACAATTGGGAGCTTTTACTTTATTTTCGCCTTCAGGGACTGGACTATATAATTTGGTGTCGACTTTGGTGTCTATAAGGTGTCTCCGTTAATTGAAGCTTTGACTTATTATAGTTACCAGTATGTTTAACAAAAATGGCTCAATATTTGAACAATGTTCGTTCTTTTTTTTTCACCTTATAGCAAATATATCAAACCACCTTAATTTGCATAGTATGTTTTTTTAATTGTCTTTCTTTTTATTCTGAGATGAGGCTCAGCAAAGTTATTAATAACTTTGTTCAAAATCGTAAAAATAACGGAAGAGCTATTTGAAATAATTTGGAAAATCATCATAATGTTCAATTCTTATACTAAAGGCTGAATTATCCTAGTATAGTAATCGTTTTTCTTTTTTTGTCTTCTTTTTATTTTATATCAGTAACCCACGTACGGCGCCATGTCTCATAAAAATAGTGTTGATTAGGGTTTTAAAGAATTTCAGTGTGTAAAATGATGATATTCGCGGTAGTGATGAATTAATTGATATGATATTAGTATACTGGAAGTGTAGACAAAATGCTGCTTTGGCATCGCGATTGTATGCCGAGTTAAAAGGAGAATCCTAATTTAAAAATAAAAAATCCGGTACAGACCAACACATTACGTACCAACAGTATCAACTTTATGTAATTTGGAGTTTTTTTCCAAAAGCAAATTTCATCTTCAAAATAAACTGAATAAAATTAATTAAGACAAAACCTAGTTGAAATATGTGTCAAAGAAAATTCTTGGTCAAACACTTGAAAAGAACACCATATTTTCCCTCTCAGAGAAACTAGCTTCTCGGACTTATCTTATTTTGTACCAAAATATATTTGTATACAGGATGTTTCTGAAATAAGCGCGTTCCTTGAAAAGGGTGATAGAGGCACAAAAATAGGCAGCTTTTATTAAGCAACTAAATGGTTTAAAACATTACATTTTAAATTGAAACAAAATTTTTCACATGAAGGTTTAAACAAATTTAAAGCCATTCCTGGTGCGGCAGCCATCTGTATATTTGATATAGAGACTGCTGCCAATTGCTTAATAAAAGTTGCTCATTTTTACTATACAGGTTGTCTAACGGTGACGAGACATTAGACATATTTCAGAGACTACTGTTTCGAAAAGATGTGTATTTTACAATAATAAAGTTAGAGCGATAAAATTTATAGGGTACATAACTAAAACTCTAAGCTTTCCTGCCATAATTTCAAAATGACTTAATTTCATACAGGGTGGTAGAAATTTAATGCCGAATTTAGTCAACTTTAAACCATCTTAACTTATTTATTTTTAAATGGAACACCCTATATATTTTTGCGCAAGAGGTGAGGAATCCTCACCTCATTGGTTTGGTTTTAACAGATATTTTCTCATTTCAATTCGTATTCTGACGTTATTCATTTTTATATATTGTTTTAACAATATAATACAAAATATGAATATGTAATTGAATTGTTGTTTTACATAATATGATTAAAGGAAAAGATGTTAAACAATGTTTGACGCACAATTATTTTAATTTTTACATAAAGAAAAATATTATTAATGGTTATTATTTTTTTTATTTGAAAATGGGATGGGAAAATTCCGAAACGATCGTAATAAAATCTACCTGTTCTTCCAGTAAATTAATAATTACTCAAGAAATTATATGATCAGAAAGAAATTTTATATGTTTAAGATAGGTATGAAGACGCATTTTAATTTAAAAAAATTCATATTCCATACTTCTATCGACAAATACAGTAAATGAAAAAAAACGCTCAATAATAACAAATTATTATTTTTATAAAAATATAATACATAGTAGGCTATCCATTTGCATAATCAAAAAAAGATGTATTTGGGTCAGGTGTACTCATAGTGATAATCAGGAAGATATTTAATCTAGGAACATACATTTGAATTAACATAAATACATGTTATGTATATCCTTAATCGGGGTATTAATTTTATTAACGAAGCACAGCGTAGGTATTTGCATATTAAGAATCCATCAAAACAACAGGAAAGGATGTCTTATGGATTTACATAAGTAGGATATTTATTTAGAAAACTAAAGATCTTTTCTGGGTGTTTAATTTTTGGTTATCCATTTGACATGTAAACGTGTACATCTTATGGATGTGTTCAATTATAATATTCATTTGATCAAGAAAAACGGTAACCAATACATGTACAGACCCATGGAAATAAGTTTGCATCTGAGACAGCTCCGCTATGCTTACTGAACACGGCAAGGGAAAGCTCCAGCCAGCTCCTATCTCGCGCTGCTCTGCCTGAGTCAGAAGCTCAAATTTGTTTGTATTGTCTGTACATTTTAACAACGCCCAATAAAACTGCAGAAAAGAACGACTTATGGATACATTTAAAGCGAATGTTCATGTCTGTATATATCAAAACATAACATCTCATGGATGTCCAGATCTCAGTAAAAACCAGATAACGAAAGAACATCATGTGCCATATGGGTTCCTATTAAAATGAGACGATTATGGATTTATCAGGAACACAGCTTCTTCGATATACCATACTTGTACTGTATGTTGACTGAAAATGAATCTGGTTTATTTAAACATATTCTTGAGATTTTAATTTGTCAAATTTGTAAAACTCACGGAATTTTTGACAATGACATTGTTAATTTTTTAAATTCTATTGAACTTGAACATAAAAGTGACGTATGTTGCCAATATTCTCAATTCCAAACTTGACACTTTATACTGACTCGTATATTTCAGGTGTCAAACCTCACGAATGTTCAATATGCGGCAAGAGCTTTTCGAGAAAGATGCTGCTGAAACAACACCAGCGAGTCCACACCGGAGAACGACCTTACTCTTGTCCGGAGTGTGGAAAAACATTTGCCGATCGTTCTAACATGAGTTTACACGCTAGATTACACACAGGTAGGACTTCTGCACTTTATAGCTAAAACAAACTTTGTTTATTTTCAAGATGCAGTACAAATTGTTGGGCAAACACATATTCAATAAACTTTGCTAAAATCCAACGCATCTTCAAAATAAATGGTCTATTTTAGTTTGGTTATTGACTTCTTTAGAACATTATTAGGACTTTGTGTAGGATTATGCTAATTACTTTTCTATTTTTGGACGTTTACATTAAAAACACTAATTTTGCAGGTGTAAAACCGTATGGGTGCACCTTGTGTCCCAAAAGCTTCACCAAAAAACACCACCTAAAGACCCACATGAACTTCCACACCGGCTTAAAGCCCTATACTTGCGAGAAATGCGGCCTGGCCTTTTCTCAAAGTAGTAACATGAGGACGCATTACAAAAAGTGTATATTAAAAAGCAGTTCGTCTGTCAACAGTCCATCCGACATGCAAAGGGACAGTTCATGATTATTCTTCAAGAAAAAAACCAATTTATAAAATTCAAATCTTTCTAAAAATAAAATTTCCCTTCTCCTATTCCTTTAAGTTTTACAAACTGCTGTTTTTTTCTGACGTGAATCGGTTACTGATTCATTTTTTAAACAGTTACTCAAATACTGCATTTTCATTTTGTAGAGGGTGATTTAGAACTTATCCAAAAAATTTTGGGAATAGATACGTCATGAAAAATGGAGTAAAATCCTTATTGTCTTCGAGAAAAAAAAATATTGAAGCCTCTAGCGTCATTCGTGTTGTACGCTGTGCACAATGCGGCCCCAGGCGATTCCGAATACTAAAATCCGATGTTGGTATTTAAATTTTTGCGATAGTGTTTACATTAGTTTTTCAAATGTCGAAAATGGTTTACATGTATAGCAACTCGGAAGTTGATGGATATCGTTTTAATGGTGAAGCAAGACAACGTTTGTGTAGTTCGTAGAAACTGGGTAATACGGGCCCAAATGTGTTTACATGTCGGTGCAGTTGAATTTACTGATATAAAATAGGCGTTATAAAATTTTTCCCTGAAAAAGAAATTCTTAAAATTTTTTGTATATTAATTTTTTATTACACTTTGCGCCATGCCCGTCGCCGACTGCATTCTTTGCCTTGCGTAAGATCAGGTTTCCAGTGCAGAAGTGAGTGTATTTTTAATTCATTTTCGAACTGCCCTTATTGATTTTTTTTACAAAATTATATTTGTAAGAGTCCCCTGTACATTCAAAAATTTTTTTTGGATAAGTTCTGAATTACCCTGCATTTGATGAATGGGAATACTATTAATATAACATGAATGACTAGTATTGTAATTGACCCATTCGAATTTATGATTCCAGATACATGTTTAAATATTATTGATTTCCATTGAAGTTTTATTAATCATAAAGTTAATTATACACTCATTAATGGTAATGTTACTGCCAATTTATACAAATGAAGTCTGTGATAAATTTATGTGTAATTAAGGGTATTTATTGTTATTTATTGTACGCATATCATGTCTATTGTTTTTTAATACCTCTCTATTTAAATAAACAGAGTTTTGTATATTTTATTACAGTTCGTGTTTTTGTTCCTTTTTTTATTAATACAGTAGGTACAAAGCCATCGAGTTCATTCATCTGAAGTAACAAAAACAGCAATATATTTAAATAGAGGTAAGTAAATAGGCAAGTAAAAAAATCTTTAAAAAAAATATACATTTGTTTCTTCTGTAATAATTTAGTAAACAACTTTTCCAGTTTTTTGTATAGAAAATGGAAAATACTTCTAAAAACAGTATTTTTGTGTCTTCTAGATGGAAACTATTAGACCGCTACACTCTATTTTTAACAAAAAACCTTCATTTAATATAAAGTGCTTTAACCTTTGCAGGGGCGTAACATTATAGAGACAAAAAAATACTAAAAGAAACTTTGAATTATAATTAGTTATTTATCCCATTAGTTCTACCTTTTTTGAGACGGAATGCTCTATATATTAGTGCATTTTTTATTTTTTTGTTGAATTCGACTTTGATAAAGATGGGTCAAAGCATCGTTTCGGTGTTATTTCAGGATTTTAGTAGCACCATCCAAAGTTTATAACAAACTTTACAGAACACCCTGTATACACTATAATACTGGACATATTAATGAAAATTAAAAAAGATTTACATTTTTTTTTAATCAATTGCTCCGAAAATGTTCGTTTCACTTGGCGGCTGCTTTCAGTTCAAAAACGTATGTGGCAAAAAATAGACACTTTATTTTATGAAATTTATTTAGCATTAAAATGTAAAGATGGTATTTTACACATGGCAGTGAGTTAATAATTTGCTAATTTAACATGGTTTATAGTAATGAACATTACTTTGTACAACAAGGTGGTACTTTGTACTAAACGGGAAGAGTGTACAAAATTTTACCAAACGAAGACTATAAAATCAAAAAATAGAACTAAATCAAAATATATGTATTCTAAAATTTAACAGTCAGTTGCTCTATATAGGTATTTCATATATACATAAATCACTACAAATTATATATTTATGTATTTAATAGGACTTGTATGTGTTTATAAATTATCGTTTTAACAAGCCATTACAGTAACAAATATCAAAAATTAAGTGCACAGTGAATGATCTACAAAAAAGTATATTTTAAATTACCTACATATTATATTTAAAGCCAAATTAATGTCAGGACAATAATGTAAGCTTACTTTTACTTCCTGTAAATATTCTAAAATCAGAGTCAAATAGTTGCTTTTATTGGAAAGATAAAACTAAATGGTAAAATAAAACGTTTAATATATTAACCTTAAAAAACAATTTAACGAAAGATTTTAAATGATCAGAGTGTAACCTTGTAATTTCAAGTTAATTTTCCAAGTCCAAGGCAGTGTTAAAAAAGGTGATCTCATCACAGTTCTCAAAAGAATTTCTCCATTTGTTAAAGTATAGTTAAAGTTTACATTGCTAATATGGTATACCTATACTTATAACGATTATAATTATGTATATACCTATCTATTTAAAATCTGAATTAGTACTATTTTTTTCCTAAGCAAGTTATATTCAACTAACGCATTAATTCCTAGAAATATGTATTTTGTATAGGTATGTACTATTGTTAATATGATTATGTGCTATATTTTGTATACTATTTACTACTTTCTTTACACTTAGATATATTACTAGGTAACACTTTCCAATTAATATCCATTAATTCTTATACATCTTATTCTTATAATCCTTTTCACAGATTTCAAATTTTCCTTACAGCAAACAACAATATTTGGTGTGTACAACGTATTTTGTCCAATTTTGTTATCTCGATAAACCCTATAAAGGGAAAGTCATTTTCCTAGGGCTCGAGTCAGCCAATAGGATCATTTCCTTGGATGAAATACTATGTAGAATATTTTTAAAATAAAGTCATTAAATAGCATAATTACCTACTTTACTGATTTGTTTTAATGGAATTTTCGAAACGGTATTCAGGAGAGGGGATAATGATACCTGTATCTTGACAAGCGCAAAATTAAGATTTTCATTAAATAGATGTAAACTATATCCTTTATAATATAAACCGTAAATTACAGGGTAGGTGCCAGTTACACAGATTTTAGTAAAGTTTTAGATGAGAAAAATAATCAGATTATGTTTAAAAGAACTTGCTGAAGTATTTCAGTGGGTCTTTAATCCTTTATTTTTTCAGTTTCAGTTATATCTTTCATATAGATATCAAGCTGTTGAATCGACCAATATTACTCTGATTTTTTATTAATAACTTCAGAAGTTCCCCAAGGATCGCACATAAGCCCTTTGTCGTTTAACATGTATTTTAATAAAGTAGGCAACTGAAACTTTTTAAAATCTTTAATGTATGCTGAGGATCTTAATTAAAGATTTTTTGGGGGTAATACTCGGAGTTAATACAAGAAGATTTAAGTACCTCCAAAAAATATTGTCATGGAAAGAGATCAAACTTTGAAAATTGCCATCATATAACATTTAGTAGAAACAACGCTTTTCACGAAAATTAACACAAATTTCAGATTGGGTATAATTTTTGACAGGAGCGAAAGCTAACAAAGCATTTGGTTCCTTTTACAGAATCTTTGTTGATTTTAGAAATCCAACCACATTTCAATCAATTGTTATTAGTGTCTTACCCTGCGGATTAGATGGCAGTGCAGTAACGGCCAACAGTAGCGGATAATCGTTTAACTGTAAAAGCCGTTTTTTCACATATCAATTAAATTTAGTTAACAATCTTCTATCACTTTCTTATACATGAAATGCACTAGCAAATTAATTTATTAAGAGATGTAAAAAACCATCCTAAATCTACAATATCTTGGATTTAATCGCAACAATCGTAATTTTAATGCGCAAACTTCAGTAACATACGTCATATAATTGCGTTACATTTTTGCGGAAATTAATTGAAAAAAAAATAATACATTTGCAAATTTATTGCGAGTGGCGCTATTTTGTGACGTTAATTATACCATAGAACATCACTACAATTTTAACAACTTGACAAGCTCACCTTTCATTTCACTAGTTCCTTCTACACCAGAAAATTGAAATATAATTAAAAGATATGGCTTTAATTTAAATTAAAGAAATATTAAATGTGTAATAAATGTAATATACACCTCTAATAATGTTACTATTAATTCATTGCTACTTGAAAGTGAAGTTAGGACAAGCGAAAAAGGTCCATCGCTAATACTAGTTAATTGTTCTGTCATGAGATCACCTTACATGAAACTATCTGGAGCTGCACCACAACCCTTAATACACGCGCGTGTATTAAACACGAGGTTGCACACCGGTCATTTAACTCGTTCAACCCTGTAACTTTATTTACAAACAACATAACGGTAAAACAAAAACAAATTAAAAAATATATATCACAAACTATATTTTTCTCAGCCGAATTATTAGAGCTGTCGCTTCTCTATCCTGTATCGGGCACTTGTAAATCTTTTTTTGGACGAATTAGCTAATATGGTACACATTGCCTAAGAGTCTTTCCCTTCTACTCCTGCTTGAACCCGTTGGCGGTGGGTTCGGCCATCTCCTCTTCCCTTCTCTGCAGCTGGAAGTACACCACTAGCCGCCCGCTCAACATGAAGAGGAAAACAAGGGCGGGTGCCGTCCTCTCCAGCTTGTCCGCCACCATGTAGTGAGAGTATACAGCCATCAGGGTGAGGATTAGTAGGCAGATGTTCGAGGCGTTCTTTATTTTATCTGTAAACGAAACAATATTGGTTTATTGAGAATTAAGTTTTGCACGTCAGTTATTTATATTATAAGCATAATAATAAGGATCATTAGATGGATTTCAAAAATTCGCTATACTTTCTAATCGGGGCTGTGACGATGCCGGGAATGCAAGGAATGTTTCACCTCTCTTTTCAAAATCCCGTCGTCGCTCAAACGCTCCCAGCAACCACTCTAATTTTGAATTGAAAAATTGAGTTTTCAATCGCAAATAACTCAAAAAGTATTGCTTTATCAAAAAAATTGTAGGAAACATTTTTAGCTTGAAATTAGTTGTTTTATCGATTTTTGACAAAATTTATTTTCAACCCCTGCAAAGGGGTAGAAACCACCCCCAGGGTAAAAATATATATCAGCATAGGGTGTATTTTGTTTCTTGAGTTATTCCCCACCTACTATCCAAATTTCAAGCAAATTGATGCATAAGAGCGGAAATCAGAGCTAAAAACATCATGAACTGAAATATTCGTAAATTTAAGGGTTCCAAATTTTTTTAGCTCAATTTAAACAATGGAACTTATTCCTCATCTCAAAAACTATAAGAAAATGCTTTGTATCATTTGAAAAAAAATTTTTTCAAACGAGAGAGCAAAAAATGTAAATTTTTTTTCAAAATTATAATCTTGGGGCTCAATTTTGAGGGTGTAAATGGGGTGTTGGTGAAATGTGATTACTTTTCCCTTATTTTGTTCCACTTAAGCTTTAAAACGATATTTTTCTTTTTTTTTATCTTTTTTCTACGAGGCGCTACTAAATTTTGTCCATAATGAATTATAATGCAGCGTCTACACTTTTTAACACTCGATCTTCCTCCATGTTGTACACAATTTAAAAAAATGTCAGCTTATTTAAAAGTCATTTTCATAAAATAAAAATTGAAACAGTTATTTGAAAAAACAGACCCAAAAAAAGTGCAATTTTTTTCAGTAACTTTTTCATTCTTAAAATTAATAAAATCGTCAAAATTTTTAAGAGCATGATAGTACAACTTTTTACGAAGAAAATACACCGAAAATCATTACTATCGTACCATCTTCTGAGAAGATCTAGCCAATTTTCGAGTGCGCGCTTTTTTTCGAGTTGATATATCTCGAAAAATAATTAATATTTTAAAATTATTCAAAAAAGTACTTTTTTGGCTTGCCGCGGGCTATGTTTGCAGTAAATAGGAAGTATGGGAACGTAAATGTAAACGAGTTATAGAACAGAAAAAAAGAGAAGATTTTTAACGGTTTTTTCGATATATCTCGAAAAGTAACAAAGCAATCGATACTTACAAAAAATCTTCGATAGATCTTTTTAGGACGTACAACTTTCTCATTTAAAAAAATTTGTTCGAGCGGAGCTATAGTTTTTTAGTTATTTTAGAGAAACCGTTTTTTGCAACTTTGCGAATTTCCTTCTCCATGTTCGCCATATTGGATCGACTATGAAGAACAAGAAACTCATTTTAAAGTTTTATTTCCTATACGGTCATATCTTTTTCCACTAATAATTTCTGTAAGCATTTCTCTAAAATGCTTGGACTAAATGGACTAATCAGTCTTTAATTTCAAATATTCAAATTATGATCACCAAAGGTTAAAAGAAGACATATAGTCATTTAATTTTTTAACTTTATGAATATTTATTAAAGAAAAATATTTACTCATAAAAGATTGGCAAAAATATCTGTTAGAACTCCAAAATATTTATGAAAACTTTTTCGGAAAATTTTCCTTGTTTTTGAAACCACACCAAATCTATTTTGAAAACTGTTTTGATCTTTTCGACCTTTTCAACTGTTCACGTCATTGCTAGAAAAATTACCACGGTCTTCGAATATATCTAAACGTTATAAATCAGCAAAAGATTAAATTTAAACAAAAAAGTTTACACACGTTTTGTGACTCATATATTATTTCTACAATTTTGCATAGTGCACATTCTTTTGTGACTATTAAATTCTGTTCGATTTATGTTTGAGCAATATTTTTAAAATGTGTTTAGCGTGACCGTAAGTTACTCAAGAAAATTTGAAAAATAAGATGAAATTTGTTATTTAAGAAGCTAAGTTTGATATTTTGAAACAAATATGATTATGAATAAACAATACGGTTATTATTTGATGTGACACACATTAAAAATAGTCTCGCACACTTTAACTTGAATAAATATTTTGTTAGACTGGTGTGTTTTGTAAATATTAATAATAGTCCTTCGTGTAGGTATCTTTTTATTTCTATATCCAAATATTTAACCAGACACACGTTTCATTCATTTTCTCTTATCAATTACTTCAAAGTAAGACCACGCTGTAAACATGCCAGAATTTTATTCTACTTTTATTGATACTCTTTGACGAAATACATTCCATACAGTTACCAACTGCCAAGCATTCAGGATCTTGTCTGTTACATGTCTTTGATTTGGCTACTTAATGTACAAATCTCAAAGTTACATAAACTCTATTTGATAGACGTAGTTTCAATTCGTTGAAACTTCAAAACGCAGCTTTATATTTTATAAAATGGCAGGGGCCCACAAGTTAATGTTTGTATTGTATAATAATTGTAAAAATGTTTCCTAGGTATGTAGGTATTTTATTGAAAACGCAATTTTCCAGATGGAAAATTGAGTACAAAAAGGATTTTTTAAATTGCGAAATACATATACGGTGTGCATTAATGTTCGCAGAAGTCCACAAGCCGAACTAATATTTCTATTTTTTATAAAATTTAAATGAAAATCCTTCTCACGAACGTCAGTTTTTCGGTAATATAGCAAATGCAACTTCCAGATTCATTTAAAGCTGTTTGACCTTGAAAATTTTCGCCTGAGGCGCTTTTTTTTCAATCAACGAATATCCTTCACCTATTCTCAATGTCACGAGCCGCCACTGCTGTGCGTACAATTTATGCATTTTGTGGTATATTACTCTCTACCCTCTATTTTCTTATTACGGACTTACAGATCGACTTAAACTTTGCAAGTCTGGTCCTCTTAAATTTGCTAGTTCATTTTTGACCATAGACCACCTGGACTGGCTTAAAGACCGACTTTGGTGAAAACACTTCGGAGCCTGATTTGGAGCCCAGCGCTCAGTCGTGTCCTAGCATTTGACGTGTACGCATCGCTGTAATTTCGATAATTAGACGTTTTATCATGGGCAAGTGTATTGTAAAACATTGTATAAATAGAAGTGATCGAGTTGGTGAAGAGAGGCGAAAAGATTCCTTCTTTAGGTAAGTAAAAAAAGGAATATATAAAACGTAAATATGTACGCCATTTTTCGGTTGACGTCATAAGTTTCCAGGGTTAGCTTTATAATTTTGTTCGCCCACATAGTGTAGTGATTAACGTGATATTGTTATTATAAAATAATGAATGAATTACTGTAAAATATTTTTAGTAATTATTTACTTTATGCGAGTCTCAAATTTTTATGAAATTTTACCAGTTCCCGTCATTTCGAGATAGCTGAAAATTAATTAAATATTTTTTTCAATTGAAAAAATTGCAAACGAAACTAATTTCAGATTCATGTTCAGCACCCTGGAAAAGGAAGTTGCAAAATGTGATTAGAAAAATCAGAGAGTTTTGTGACAAAAAAAAAATAATTAAGTACGCTTCGATTTTCAAACCTAATATTTAAATTTTTACAGATTTCCAAGGAATGTTGACATAAAACGTAGATGAGTGAAGGCTATTAAAAAACAGGACTGGACACTAGCAAGTACATTATTATAGTATATATTGGCGGTTTCGTAATAACAAGTTCTCTAATAAAGCCAATAAAATGTGAAGACTATGTAAATAGTTTAATGTCAAATACACAGTATTCGTACAGTCAATTTTTATTAAAGATCGTGGTTGTTTAACGTATCCATCTCGAGATGTCGTAGTAATATGCCAAGAAACAGAAAAATTAATAAAATTTTTTAATAATGATGAAAGCAGAAGGCTACAGGAAAATAAAATTGTTTATCATGTATTAAAAAACTTTCTGAATGTGAACATATTTAAAAATTTGCATGAACACATAATTTGCCTAACAATTGTAATCATTTAATAGAACTTGTAAGGGCTGAATGTGAAAAGTATATCGATGTACGAATAAATCATGATGTCAAATTATTTAATTCGGTAAAATCTACGAAAAGGCAAATATTAAATAAATTAATATTATTTAGAGGACAATAAATATATTTAAATTATTTTGTAGTTTTATTTAATATGACACTAAAATATACTATTTTCTGAATTACAAACTTAAAATTGAATATTTGTCATAAGAAGCAATATAATGTTTAATATGTAATAAAAATATTACTTAATCCGGATCTGCTTAAAGATGCGCGCGATCAGATTGCCTTCCACACTCCACTTCCCCGGATTTTGCATTCACTGGTACCCGTGCATTGGAATTAGATACGGCCAGTCTAGGTGGTCTGTGATTTTTGACCATTCAGAGATATCTGAACAAAACAATTGTCAGCTTCAAAATGTAATTTTTTATAAATGTTTTGTGTTTTTTATATATTTATAATTAATTTTGTTCTATTAATATTTATAAATTCCATTCGCAAGGAATAAACAAACCCTAAGTAAAATGTGAAAACAGCTAAATCTTATAGTAGCTGTTTTTACATGTTTTTTTGTCAAAAGTTATGTTTGTGCACTTTCTGGTATAGTCTTTCCGAAATCAGTTGAATATGCAAAAAAAAGTCTGGTAATAAAATATAATGAATTTCATAGGTCCCTAAAAAAGCTAAAGGTAAAAAATACCTCAAAAACATTGAGACGAATTTTTTCAGATTTTTCAGACTGATTTTAACTTTTCTATCCAAAATACTTCATGAATGACCTTGAATGACCTCTAGGGTGTATCGTGGGGGTAAACAAACCTCGGACTCGGGTTCAGTGACCTCTAAAACATAAGCATGCATTTTTTCAGATTTTTTTATTTGACCTTGAACCTGACGTGATGGAGCTTAAATAACCTTGGATTCGCGTTCAGTGACCTCAAAATCATTTAAACGAATTTTTTCAAATTTTTCAGACTGATTTTAACTTTTCTATCCAAAATACTTCACGAATGACAGATTTTTTGGAGGTCATTTCTTGATTTGACCTTCAAATCACCTTGAACCTGATGTGATGGAGCTTAACCGACGGATTCGTGATCAGCGACCCAAAAAAACCCTATATACCATAGTCACTTCTAACGATTGTCCCTAGATCAAATGTTGACCTATGATTATTTATGTCCTCAAACAATTTTATTATATTGGTGGTAAATTTCGGTTTGTTCCATTTCAAAAGGTCTCCAAAATGTCATGTTGTGATAAGATTAGTAAACAAAATATCCCTCTTATTTCTCCCTTTCGCAATTGTAATATGAATGATTAACAGAAGATGCCTATAATAAATTAAAATTACCTGAATCACACCAAATTCCGCATTGCTGCACTGCACTGCTGGGCAATTTATCAACCACTTGCCATCTGCTGTGATTTATTGCCCAGTAGCCCAATGCAACTGTGATCATTTTCCTTTGCCTGCGCTCATATTCTTCAACTGAGCGTATACATTTCTATCGCCTCCACGTTTAGTTCGACCAGACCTGTATATGGGTATGGCTAAATAAATATAGGAACAAGTTTTTCAAATATTTCAATGCCGAGTTGCTGTGTCAGCGACCGAACCTGGTATATACTATCAATCTGTCAGTTCTTCAATTGATATCGGAAAAACTATATCATAGTGAGTAGTCTCGATCAAAAACCAAAATAGCCAATAAGAATAAAGCAATGTCAGTGTTAATAAAATTATGGGTTTTGATAATATATGCAATACCAGCAGACTAGTCGGATTATTTTCAAAATAACAGACAATTTTCTAATTAAATGTAATATTAAAGCACGTAAAATATTAAAATTATGGGAAAATGTTCGCCATAATATAATATATGTTTCAAACCTTACTTTTAAATTCAAATTCAAACTGCGTGTCTACGCCCCAATGTTGTATACCTCACGTTTCCTTTCAATTATGACCTGGTCCTGGTGTTCATAACTGAAAGACAATTCCACTACAGATAGAAATATGCTGGTAGAACGAAATCTATATAACTCTATTTTATTGTTTGAGTGAGTGGGTTTAATGATAAACATTGATGACGAAAACAGAACCCCTTTTAAAAAAAACTTCTGTCATGAAAACTCTATAAAATCGTCCTTATATTGCTTTTTTTATTACACACTACCGGCCAGAAAACAGCTGTAACATTTTATGTGGTTATTTATACAGTTGTATTTTTGCGACAGGGGCCAAAAATTATTTCCCGCTACGTGAATATAACTATATCAACACATTTTCAATATTCAGTCGCATGAGTCATGAAAACACCGGTGAAGGTTTACTTCAAATGCATCAAATAAGGAACCATATTTCTAAAAATGGCCATGAGAAAAAATTATTGCGTCATGGGATCTTAGTTTGAATTCCTTTTGATCTAAAAAAATTAATAGTCTCAAATTTTTGTTCAAAGTTGTGATGTTTTCGTACAATAAATCCAATTTAGTTCGAATTGTACAAACGTAATCATTAAAAAAAAAACAAATAGCAGATAAATCGAATTCAAAATGCGACTTAAATATATGTGTGGTCTATCACGGATGAAAGTAACAAATTTATGCACCGGACCAGTACAAATTTATATAAATGTACCAAAATAAATGGCAATTTATTTGTAGGCGAGTGAGCCACGTTTATTTCAGTGAGATATTACTGGATTTTTGACCGCAACCTACATATTGTCAATGTTAGGACAAAAATAAACCTTTAAATGTAATCCGAAAAATGTTGATGTAGTGCGGATTTGTTTGTCGGACTGTAGGTGAGAATATAAATAAGGCGATTCTACCGAGGTGATTCAAATTAGGTTTAATAATGTTTCTAACATTTTCGTCAGATGAAGTCATAGAGTTGGTTCCACGATTGTGTGGAAAAACTTTTTTATTCTTAAATTTATTAAAAAATTTCCTGATTGACCTCAAACTTTTAAAAATGTTATTTCGAATAACTGGGAAATTTTGCAATCACAAAATACGAAGAATGAATTAACAGAAACGTTAAATGTAAACTTATAAGACATTTTTATAAAAATTATTTTTAATAAGAAAAATGGTATCTTTAAAACAAAGTACACAAAAATACGGGAAGAAAATCGCGTTGACCAAATATGGGTTACGATAATAGTAGTTTCTTGACAAGTCATTTTTCACTACCTAATTGAAAATTTGGGAAATAATATTTTTGTTTCAAAACTAATTTTGATTATCTACAGTGAAAACGTGGTATTTTTTATTGCAAACGTATAGCAGAATCGTATGCATAGGTACAGCAGAAAAAATTGACTTTCTTCGCCATCTATCATGAATCTAAAAAAATGTTTTAGACAAATCTACGTACTTTTGGCAACTGAATCTGCAATAAAAAAGGGGTTCCTATTTAAAATTTCAAAGTTACACCCCTGTATCACCTACAAGGAGAGAGGTAACATTTTTTTCGTAAACCTATTTTCTCAAAGCTGTGATTACTTCATTAAATATATTGTTGCCAAGGTAATTCGAAGTAGCACTAATGTACGAATTGCATGTCAAAGGTAAATTAATTCAAAAAATAAGGTTACATCTACAATCACTTCAAGTATAAATAACATAAGCAGGTGCTTTTAATGTTATGTAGGTATGTTTTCAACGAATTTTCGGCATGTGCCTTAAAAAAGAATCAAAAGGTGTTCCAAAAATGTTTGGATTTTCGGTTAAAAGCATTACGGTATTTTATCCTGTACAAAAGCGGCAGAAATTTAATCATTTCATTATTTGTGATTTTTGGTTAGTGACACATTTTTACAAAATGCTGATTTATGATTAAAATTCGCCAATTTTTGTATTTTATTCAAGCATTATTTCCTGAATGAGATGTAATAGTTTTCCTTGGTAAAAATCGTCAGTCCTTAGAGATAAGTAGGTATTTTTCTATTCTTCATTTTATTAAGCAGCAAATGTTAACCAGCGGAAATAACTATATAAAAACTTAGAGTGTCATAATGAAAATAAGCATATTATAAAAAATTAAGAAAAATAAAAAAGGATACTTACGATTAGGTACAAACGCCATTGCAATGCCGCATATTATTTCTAGAGCTCCTACTGCCCTCCTGTACCATTTTGAAGGAATTTTAAAATCCAAGGCTTCCGAAAAAGGAAACACTTTTGCATACTTAACATATTCTTTCCTCTAGAAAAAAAAAACCAGTTTTTAAGAAAATAATGTTCCAATTTCAAAAGATCAAATGCAGGTTTTACATTGAGCGTGCAGTCAAATAAGATATCTAACACCTCCTTTTATTAAGAATTACGTTTAAAACATAGCGTGTTTTATTTTTCATGGAACCATCCTTATATCCCGGTTATTTTAAATTAAAACGTTTTGGCATTTTAGTACGATATAATTAACTTCTAAGCGATTATTGTGCTATAACTACATTTTAATCATAGGCGTTCGGGTTTAAAATTAAAAAAAATCCTTTTATTTTTTGCTTTACATTAATCAAACTTTTTTTTACATAGCCATTAATAGAAGATTAGTTGAACAACCTAACAGCTTCTAATAACTTAGATCTTAAATTATACACCTCTTTTTTAATTTCAATGCCTGATGGCTATGACTAAAATAAAATTTGGTTAAATCCGAATAATCGTTTTACAAGTAATTTCATGCTGTACTATATCTAATATGAAAACTCTTCCATTTCAAATAAGTGAAATAAGGTGATCTGTCAAATATTCTATCTGATTTAGCTTCAAATAAGAAGTGGATCTTATTTGTGGAAGGGCGAAATGGGCGGTGACTATTAGACGCCTTCATAATAGCCATCTTTCTCTATCGCACGGATTTCTATGACTTTCTTTATCGCTCTCACGTAACGGCTGATGAACCATGGGGACATTCCGACCCTGTATATAACAATATTTCCTTTGCAAAAATATAAATTTTATATTGAACCAACATAATTTTTCAATTTTGGAAGTAAAATAAAGTTTTTCGAAAATTATATTGTGAGATGTAATTTTTGTCATTAATTTGCTTTTCTCAATTATATGCAATATTTTTAATTAACCAATGATAGTTTCATTACAAGTTCTTTCAACTGATTCTTTAAACTTAAGAGTTGATGCAATTGCATGTAGAAGTCCGTGAGAAAAAATGCTCGCGATTAAATAGAGAAAAACATAAAATATGTTTGAAATAAATAATTTCCGACGGTTAAACTCAACTTTACTGAACTATAATGACATCAATTTCGCTATTAGTTCCAAGTTTATTTTCTCATTTATAAATATGTATCTTCTAAACGTTATGCACTTCACTGATTTAAAATTATAAGTAAATATTAACCTGAAAAGTGTATAATAAAATAAAATATTTAAATGTATATAAACACTGATGTCATTATATCTAATTATGTGAAATTCTGGAGAATGTAAAATATATGCAGTTAATGTATAAAATCTAAATTCTGGCGAATGCGCTGGTTATTGTATAAAATGTACAGGGTATGAATTAAATAGATATATGAAATTTAAACGGTGTTTTCATAAAAAAAACTGTTTTTGTTCTTCTTCTAAACGATTTGACCAAATCAGTTCTTTAGTAGAGAGTATTATTTAATAATGCTACAATGCTACATGATGAATATGGCGATGATAAATGAGACAACTTATGGGCAGAAATTTAGATGTTTTTTGAGCAGTACTTCAAAGATATTAACGAAATTGTTGAAATAGCCCACCGTTGTTATTAACGCACAAGATACATCTTTTTGAAATAGAATTTAAGGCTTTTCTCACAGAACGCGTATCAATATTGTCGAAAGTTTCCTGAACGAATATAACACTCAATAATATCACGCTTTACCTCGTTTGAAAAATTAATTGTCTATAGTAACTAAAAGTGATGTCAGTAAACATTTCGATTCTCTTCACAGCCATCTACGTCATCGAGCAATTGAAAAGTTAAAAACGGCTTCAGTTCTTCACTTTTTCAAAAAACAGTATCGAAAATTATATCGTTGGAAAGCATAAAAAAGACAATTTTTTCTGGCTCATGGCTAACTATGGTTTACATTTAAAAAACTTGAAGTTCATGTTACAAGTTGAATACGAAACTGTACACGAACAATTTGATGACACTATCTTATTAACACTGCAAAAACATGAAACTTTGTAATTGAATTTTTTTTGTAAAATAAATAGCAACGGAGCTACACGCATCTGAAGGAATTGGCTGAATTCAAATCTTTCCAAATATCTAGTCAGCCATGACGTTTTTTCAAAAAATAAAAGTAACATTTAATAAGGATCATAAAACTTCACATCTTTCCTCATTTAAACTTTTTTTCCTGCTACAGTAAACATCGAAAAAACTCACCATGTATATTATACTTAAATTAAATTCAAAAATGTTGTGCCAATATTTTTTTTAAGTGGGAATTTCTGTTATTTTACAACCTTATTATTCTGTTGTTGACTTGAAGATTTTTTTTTATTTTAGCGAATAAATGCGAAATTTTGCATTTTTTATTTTTATTTTTCCGAAATTTGATTGTTTAGGTACGTACATTTAAATTGATTCGATAAAAACGTTTAGAAAATATAAACAAAAACATAATTTATTGTTTTAACATTGTGTATCTCGGAAACGGAGCGTATTTTTCTTATTTTTTGGAGTACTCTATGCTGTTTAAAGCTTTTTAGGTAAGTACTACATATAATTACGTATATTTATATGGAATTCTGAAGATCATGAAGATATATGTGTATATAATACGTGCGGCAGTGAATGTAAAAAAAAACTAAGTTTTGGCCGCATCCGTTGGTTGTCGTAAAATGTTTATTGCCCGGTTACACTACATTAAAATCGAATCGAATCAGTTAATAGTCGGTCAGTCTAAATTTACACTTATAAACAATGAGCGTTGAAAGTATATTTTCATTGTGACTGTCTTATGACCACGTTATTTTCAAACGTAAATGTAGGTTTATATTAGGATAGGTACGCGCAAAGGTGTTTCGAAGTAAAAAAAGAACTCTCAATGTCGATTTCCAAAATATATCATTAGATATATTTCTTTTATTTTAATGCTTCTCTTCTTAATCCTCAATATAGTATAATGTGGGTTTGGGTTAAAAATACGTGAAATATTTGTTTTCAAATTTTAAGATATGAAGTGATGAAAAAATCAGTGAAAAAATACGTCATTAATTTTTTTTATGAAAATGTTTATACTTATATTTCATGCTGGGAACGTGATAATTGTTTTTTGTGTTTGGAATTCCTGAAAAGAAAACAACATTTTTTATTCGTACAATACGTGCATTTATTTGAGGAAATTATTTTAGTACGTCACAAAATATTTTTGGTGACATCTTGATTTAATTAAAGGTGACTAAACTAAACATATTATTTATTATTACTTTATGACGTCGATGCAATACGGGATATCTCGAAAATCGAATCAGTATTTATAAATGCAGTTTAATTGAAACGTAGTTTTTTTCAATAATTGTGCAGTGAAGAGACATTGTTTCTAATTAACTTAGATTTTCTAAAATGCTGGACAAAAAATTGGGCATAATAACATCCACCTTAAGTGAATCTTAAGAACATAATTGGAAATATAACGTCCTCGAATTCTAAGTCTGTTACGATTTTTTTATATGCCAATTTTTGAGGTGATAACAGTTTTTCAAATTCCGACTCTAATAATACGTAATTCTACATCCTTTGGTTTGGCCTATGACAATATTTTCTTAATTAATTTTTAATTCTGCAAGTAAACTGTTCCTGTAAAAGTGTAAAATGATTTTCTTCGAAAAATAAATTAATAAAATAATAAAAGAATAATAAGTTTAATAATAACTGAAATACCTAAATTAAACTGTACTATACATACTGTTTACAAAGTTATATTTATACCTACGTAAAATTTAAAAATATTTTTTTTGTAATTGGAACGTAGGAATTTTGAAATGTCTATAATCACTTTGCGTTATTAAATTTTTTAAAAAAAAATTAAGTGACATCTTTAAAATACTGATTCATTATTAAAGTTAAAAAAAATGTCTGTAAATATCTTCTAAACAAATGAATATATTGAACCAAAATATTGTGTGCTAAACATGAATTAACTGACATTCAACTTGAAACAAAAATAAGCCTCGGCTAAAATTAGTGACATAATATGAGGTGTGCTGATTACATTTATCTCAAAGATTATGGCACGCCACTGGACAATTAATTTTGTCATCATTGATTTGTAAGATTAATTTTGAGTGAAAGTGATCTTTCGATCTTTCATCATAGCTTTTACCGTTTTGGTACACAATAATAGTATGTAAAGACGATACGTTAGGTTAATTTAAAATTATACAGGGTGTTTCAGGTTAACGTATCAGAAATGAAGAAGTGTTTTCCTTGTTCAAATTTAAGATTATTTTCTCATTTAAACAGTTGCGCTTAAAGTTCTTGTTTTTAAGATACAAGATGTTAAATTTTTCAAAAAAATCGACAGATTCATCAGAATATACAACGATCTGAGAGGAAATGTATATGTGAGAAATTCAAAAATGTATCGGAATATTTTATAAAATCATTTGAATAAATTATGTTTGTCTTCTTTACAAATTGCTAATTTGTTTCCATTGGCGTACCATAATTGTTTAAGAAAACCTAGTTTGCGTTCTTTAGATCTACGACACTGGTTGGAGTTGAGACTTAATTGTTATACGTTGAATGCTATTTTCCTCATATATTGTGCACACAAAATAACGTTTAATAATTCTGTTCAAAAGATATATACAGATAATATTTGTTTTTTAGCTTTAACGCCCTATATTCTCAAAATCGGTTAAGTTTTGGAAATATAGCATAGAAGAATATATAGGTATCAGTCATTACTTTTATACAGGGTGTTCCTTAATGATATGCGGTTATTAAAGGGTGTGATTCTACATGGAAAATTAATGATAGTTTGCTATATAAACTATGGCCCAAAATTGTTCCGTTGCGAAAATTTTAGGAAAAAGAAAGAAATTGATTAATATTTTCGAAACCGCTTAAGATATTGCAGTGATATTTAGTACATGTTAATAAAGGCGCATGTTTTTCAATACAAACATCATTTTTAGCTCTAACAGTGGCGTGCGTACGAGCACTGACTGATAATTTTAAAGAAACAAATGGTACGCCAATGGTTTGTTTCTCCAATTAAAATTATTTTTGAAATCTCCGTGCAATTGCAATTGAGTTTTTGCCCTACGATGCGCCGTTTTGTGGTAAAAAAATAAAACCCGATGTATTGTCCATAATTAATGTAATTATTGAAGAAATAATTGATAATAAACCTAGTTGGCCTGGAATGTATCACTTGAATTTCTGACATTTTGAAATAAATCAAGTGGTTTCGAAAATATTAATTAATTTTCTTAAAATTTTAACCCTGTATTTTCAAAACGGAACATTTTTGGCACACGGTTTATAAAGCAAGCTATCATTAATTTTCCATGTAGAATCACGCATATTATTAAGGAACACCCTGTAGATTCCTGAATTAAAATTGGGACATCCTGTATAAATCTCGACACCCCACCATATATATTTCTAAGAATTAATTTATTTATTGGAAAACGTATAAATACAGTGTGCTTTAAATAAGGGAGTTTTAAAAAAATCGTCGTAATAATTTTTATTTTCACATTACATTTAATGTCATTGTTTTAGAAAAAGTTGTTAACCATGTGTCAAAAAAGCGTTATCCAAAATAAAAATTGATCAATTTTAAAATGTCCTTTGTATTAAGTTGTAGTGGAAGTTGTAACAAGTTTTTGCACGTATCTACTTATGTTTACCAATAAGACCCAAAACTGTTTATTTTATTTTTTTTTATTTTATTTATTTTAAAAATTACAACATCCAACAGTTTACACTAATTACAGGATGAGGTAACAATGAAAATACACTAAATCACAGCAATCTAAATATCATATGAAGACTAATGGCAAAAGCTGAATGTATGCCATACGATTTTGCTCGCCAAAATACCGCGTTATTATTACTTATTTACATATCTCATTCAGCGACGTCCTTGTATGTCAAATAATTTGTCTCTCTTGTGACTTACGACGAAAATTTGAGCAGACTGAAATCCAAACATCAGGGGGCAGATTCCAATAACGATTCATCCTCGCAAAAAAAATGTTCGAGACCGCACAACTCCAATCCGTTAATTTCGATATAATTGATGCATTATTGCACTAATTGTTGGCACGGGATAAATCTACAGGCGATAATGACGTGCGCTCGCACCGAGCACAATAAAACATTTACAAATATTTGCAACATCCTTGCCAGGCAGCGGGCCAAATATTTAAAATATCGGGTTGTGTAACGGCGGATTCTGCGAAAATTTCACACGAAGGGAAAACTACTTACTAGATCTTTGTGTAAATCCTTAGAGACCACACTAGATATTTTTATTAAGCCCACGAAAATGAAAAACAGTCCCAGCAGCACCGACAACGACCGCAACACAATCGAGCCCATTTTTTTATTTTTCATTTGATAAATGTCTCTTGGTGTAACTACAACTCACTGCGGTTTCACAAAATGCACATTGTTTTATTTGTTTTTGGTTGCGTTTCATTAAGTTTGCTTTTTATCATCGGGATCTTTTCGTTTTGAACGCACAGTCGCTTTGAACATAATCAATATTGAGCGCCCAGTTGTACTAGCCATGCCAAAAATATCCGAGGGTGTTGTGTTCAAGCTGAATATTATTTTAGTTAGATTTCTTTGTTGTTTTTGAGTAGTAGGTTTTTATTGTACCTAAAACAAAGTATTTAACTGCTTATGATTATTGATTTATCAGCTTTTTAACAGTTTACAATTATTAAAGTAAAATAAAATTTTCAATATTAGGCAACCGGTAATACAGTTGATCGCGGTAAAGGAAATTATATACATGCATAATATATTGGTCCTTCTTACTATAGTAGGCGCTACTGGAAACAATTGGATTATTACAGATTTCGACTAATAAATATACCGTACTCGAGAATGAATGTCGTTGAGAACCTTATCTAAAGTTTGGAATTTAGTTTTTAGCGAATAAGACACGCTCTGTTGTGCTTGCTTTTATAAGTGAATCATTTTACTTGACACTTCTCATTAGAATTTTGCGCTGAGGCTCTCAACTAAGCTTTTGTTTATTTTTTTTTGTACACTTTTTATTTTGTGCTTAGCACTTGAAGATATTGAGCACCTGTGTATGAGCCACAGGACAAGAGCAAAGTCTAAGCGATTTAAACGCTAGAAATAGGTCTGGGTCCAGAACAATTTTTGTACTGAATATAAAAGTTTATTGGATATTAATCTTGTATAATATTAGTTTGCTTGTATACAAGATACTGTATTGGTCTTGGTAAATCATCTGTGGATGACCATAGTCGACGTCTCTTGATTTGCTGCATTTTTGAAAAGAAGAGATTTCTAACTTTCCGGGATGAAGTAGAGAAGCTCTAATTTTAAAACATTTTTGCAAGTTCCTACAAAACTATAGGTAGGTCCATAGAAAAAAATGACATGCCCATCATTTTACAGCATATCCGAAGTACCTTTCAGAATTGCCACCCTTTTTGCATTTCAAAGGACAGTCCCTTATTTAGGTTGTATGTTCCGACATAAGTTCATAAGGAAATATTAAAGGCTTTGTATTTATGAAAGTAAATCATCCAATTTAAATACTATAGTTTGCTTGAGCTAACACTATGGACTTTAGTTAGACGTGCGCCTGCTGCCACCTAGTGGCTACCAGAAAAAGTGTGAAATTTATTAATGGAGATTGGAAATTTAAGATTTAAGATTTTGAATTTTAGTTCATATCTTACAAAAAAAAAATTGTTACATGTTTGTTCTGTTTTATTAATTTTCTATACAAAATCTTCATCACGCAACATTTACATATTTGAAGCCTTTGAGGTCCATTGAATATACCTTCTTTCAGTTTGGCGTCGCTGATTTTGGGAAATTTATGTCCCAAATACGTAACAAAGCCTTCACGAAGCACTTTTATTCTGAATATATTCCGAGTACAAGTGGCAAATTTGTGTATATTTCAAAATAATTACTATTATCTTGGAAAACCAATCAGTCTAATGATATCAATCAGATTTATTAGGTATCTTTGTTTTCCATGTTTATGGGACAGTAAAGATAGGAAGATTCATTATATGCACATAAAACTTCAATTAATAAAACAATTGGTTAAGGTTTAGGACAAAGAAAGTTACGGGTAAATCAGCAATGCTAAACTGAACAAAGGTATTTTCTACTGAAAGTAAATTAAACTGATTGTGAGAAAACTGTACGTCTTACTCTGAGAAGGTTGTAAAGCTTTAGAAATGTAATAAAAAAATTAAAAACTATTTGAGCAGTCACAAAAATTATAAAACTTTATCGTGGAAATGGTGGAGCATTTCAAAGAACTTGGATGTTTAATAAACCTAAAAATGCACTTAATGGATTTTCACGTAGATTACGTTCTCGATAACTTAGGTGACTATAGCGAAGAGCAGAGTATTTGATTTTACTGGGATTTTAAGGAAATGGAAAAACGGTGTCAGGATAAGTGGACGGTATACGTCATCAGTATGATGGTAGACCATAGATTTTCTACACAATCAAAAGTTCTTGTTGGATATTGAAGAAGATGTGAGATTAGAGGGAAAAATATAAAGCAAAATCAAATCCATAGATCTTTTGAAGACAAATAAAAGCAGGCAGCACAAAGCTTGTTATAAGCGAGTGTTGATTTAAAGAAAAACGACTAGACACTTTTGGGTAAAAGTGTCTAGTCTTCAGGGAGAATTGCGTAGCTATCTGGTATATTCGTGAAACTCTTTTTATGAATCGAGTGAGCATTTTCTCGAAAATGATGGGTGGAGAGTTATGGAATCCAGTATACAGGGTATACCATTTAACACTCCCACTGCCAATATCTCCGAAATGAAGAAGTTTATTTTAGTTCCGGAAACTGGGGTTGTTAGGTCCCTCGAATAGCATCAAATTGTAGTTAGAACCGTTAGTTGAAATCTTTCTATATGGATGGCGTGGTGTTACTTAAAAATTTTTAGATCCCTAGAACATGGAAATGCAGTCCATCTGAAAGATCGTTAAATTTTGAGTAATTTTTGTAATATAAAGTTTTTCCCAGTATTTACTTGTTTTCGAGATATGTCGACTTCAATATGCAATGTATGATGTAACAGAAAAACAGACATGTTGATACATCTTACAAAAAAATTCGATAACGGCACAAATATCTCCAATACCGTTAGGGAACCTATACACAGTTCAAAAGAGCTTTAAATTTCCTAACTTCCAGAGTAAAAATATACTGGGTGTCCCATTTAAAATAACCAAGTTATTGCTGTTAAACAGCAATAACTTTAAAAGTTGAAAGAAGTATTCAGTAGTTATTTGAACACCCTGTACAATACTAAGTGACGACAAATGTAATACTTTATAACTTCAATAATTTATAACTAAAGAATCCAAAGCTGCTTCCTTAAAATTATTTTTTTATTGCTAATATTAAATTTCTACGCTAAGCCTGTATTTTCACTAAAATTGAAATATCACACAAATAATAAATCCTAAGTATGCAGAAGCTTTAATAAAGTTCATCTATTTTTTTTACAGTGCTTTCAAAAAGTGCAGTAAAATACAGGGTGTTCCACTTAAAAATACACAAACTTTGATATGGTACGCTTTTCCTAGACACCCTGTATATTTCAAAATCTTTTTAAAATGTAGCCGTAATCAATCTGCACATACCCACCTAAACAGGTTTCTATAACATTTGCCCTTTGGTCCCTAGCCAACGAGGCGTTATTGGTAGCCCACCCTGTATATTGCATATTGAAGTCGACATATCTCGGAAACAAGTAAATATAAGGAAAAGATTTGTATTACAAAAATTACTCAAAATTTAACGATCTTTGAGATGGACTGCATTTCCAAGTTCCAGGGATCAAAAAATTTTTTAGTATACACCATGCCATCTATGCAAAAAGATTTGAACTAGCAGGTCTAACAGCAATTTAAAGCTATTCAAGGGACCTAACAACCCCAGTTTGCGGAACTAAAATAAAATTATTGATTTCGGAGATATTGACACTGTATAGAACAGTTTTTCTCACGATGTTACAATCATATTCACATATAACTCATTTTTTGAGGATTTGGGAGCATTTTCTCGAAAATAATGGGTACTGTTGGCAAACTGACTTCAAATTCGCGTACCGCTGGTTCAAAAACATAAAAACAGGGTCCGATCAAAAGAACAGACCTGTTTTTTTCAGAATCTGAAAAAAATTCTGAAAACTGTGTCAGCCTTGGGCGTATCTAATTCTGAAATCTTCAACACTTAATTTTTTTTATAGATCAGTCGGTTTCAAGAAAAATGGACTATACAGGCTGTTACAAACTCGCTAAGAGGTACGAAGTAGTTTAAATGGGGGCAAAGTTGCGTCATCAGGGGACCAACTTTACGCCTCTAAAAAATCAAGGCTAACATGATTAGTTTTCGAAATATTTGAAAAAAAATCGAAATTTTGGAAATCCGTTTTTGTTTCATTTCAGCCATGTTTGAGGTAATATTGAAAAAAGAAGAACTCTTTCTCATAGCCATTTTTTGCCCTCTACTGAGTGGTATAGTCAATCTTTATATGTAACGTTTTGTCTCTCCAGGACCATCATCAACTTCATGTTTTTAAATACGACCCTAGAAATTTTATTACATTTTTTGCAAGCTTCATGATCTCCAATACTGTACTCAGCCCGAACCAGATTCAGACGTTTTATCTCGAAAAATTCATTTTCAGTGTATTTGTTCCAAATTTATCTAAATTTTTTATTTAGATTTCTTTGTTTATTGAATTATCATTCACTGTGTCGTTAGACCCTGTATAATCCATCTAGTTATTTAAACTATTACCACCACACGTTACAATAAAACATTTATTATTGTTAACTATTACCATCACTTGATCATACATAACTCAATAAGTTGTTGCGTCAAAATTAAAACATTATTACAATTTTAATTCTATTATGACAAATTAATTCTTAAAAACGCATATGAACAACCAAAACACCAACTGAATATTATTAAAAAATTTCAGTAAATGTTCAAAAACATTATAGTTTTGGCAAAGGTTGAAAATGAAGATCAGTGTAATATTATTGGAATTTATTATATCTGTAACTGCAACTGTGAAAGAGCATATCAGATGTTATTTGTATGAATATCCTGGAAAAAATAGATCGGAATTTGTTTGAATTTTGAGCACTCGAGAAGCCTAGAAATAACTAAGGACACAGGAACTAATTTTTTATTTTAATGTGTAGTGGTAATAGTTTAAATAACTTAATGGATTTCACAGGCTCTAACGACACTTACATGTACAAAGAAATCTAAATAAAAAATTTAGATAAATTTGGAACAAATACACTGAAGATTAATTTTTCGAGACAAAACTTCTGAATCTGGTTCGGACTGAGGCAGTACAGTATCGTGGGTCATGAAAAAATGTAATAAAATTTCTAGGGTCGTATTTAAAAAAATGAAGTTGATGATGGTCCCGGAGAGACGAAACGTTACATAAAAAAATTGATTATGCCATTCGATAGAGGGCAAAAAGTGGCCATGAGAAAGTGTTCTTCTTTTTTCAGTATCACCTCAAACAAGGCTGAAATGAAACAAAAACGGATTTCCAAAATTTCGGCTTTTAAGCCAGTTTGTATCTCTTACCGTTTCCGAGATCCCTGTAGTGAGAAGCGAATTTGTAATAGCCTGTATACAACAGACTCAAATATGTAAGTGCAGTATAAAGTTTAGACAGCATTTCCAGTGAATATCTTATTTTACACTAAAAAACACGTTCATTTCTTTGTTACCCTCTCAATTTTTTTACCAAAAAAGTTTGATAGATTATATTTGTCTATTCAGTGGTCAAAATACAGTCTTTATAAATGATTACAAGCCACACAACAAGCAATTTTATTTGAAACGGTAATTTTATTTCCTTCGCCTGGCAATTCAATTTCGGTAAAACTAAAATTTTTTAAAATAATGCAATCAAGGTTACATTAAAACTGACTGGTGATTGGTGTAATTTTTCATATTTTATTTATCCAATCGGCGAAAGCATTATTTCCAGCAAAGACACAATGGTTTGTTATTGGTCACCGTAAATGAGTCATTAATATTGATAACGCTCTCAACATGCAATGTTGGTTGCCTAAGCTTGGCGATCACATGACTTGAAATCATTTATAAAATGGAGGCCCTGTAGCACTTTCAATTTCATTTTAAAATAAAAGACATTGCTACTTGTCAACACAACTGTTAAGCAACAAAATATTTAAAATATTATCTCTTCTCTGACACAATATATCGAAGGTTGTAATAATACAAATACACTGATTATAGAATTTTTATTCTGATATTACATAATTTAACAAACAAATCATAATTTTGCTTACAATCTATTAAATATGAGACAATAGTTTCTACTTTTAGTATAATTTACACTTTTATGTACACTACGTCATGAGATTTTAATAAGGATATACATATTGCTTGAAGGTCGCGAACAGAAAGCAATTTTGTATCCTGACAGTCGAATATATCTTGAAATCTATACAGTAGGAAAAAACGGAATGCATTTTAATGTATATGCGTATATATATTCAAATATTATATATATAGATATAATAAACATTGGTCCTTATGTGCAAGTATTGCTTTAACTTTAAAATATTCTAGTATGTCTAAACCTAACGCAATAATTTATATATAAATGACAAAAAAATAGGGGCTCTATAATAGTATAATACAATATATCTCTCAAGAAACGTTTAGTATGAAACGGAAACCGTTCAGGGTTCTCACGATCACTTTTTAAGCCACTACGTTGAAAACAATAACATCCGGATTATTAAATTCTTAAGGGTAGTCGTTGTTTCATAGTTGTGTTAGCTGCAAGATGGACGGTACTTAGTAAATAGATATGCAGATCAGCAGAAGTTGAAGATTTTTTAAATTCCTTAAGCCGTCTGAGGAGTGTATACTAGACCGTTAAAATTCTACGGTTCGAGGCCCATGGCGCACCACAAGAATTTTATTTAAATGCTTTCGAAACGACGAACGTCCTAATTTTGGCACCTTTTCTCACTTTCTAATAAACTTCATGTCAAAATAACGTGCCGCTAAGAACGGGCATTATTCACACTGTTTTCCCGCTGACGGCTAACCTGATTTTGATTTTTTCTTTAATTCACTAAAACCTCAATTATCCGAGTCTCTGTTATCTGAAGTTATTGTACAAATTAACGTACTTTGGTTATAAGCGATCGTTGTCTCTGTGGAAAACATTCTTAGTATGCAAACCAAACTAGAAGAACTACGAAAACAAGATTTGGGCGAATCTATAAAAATTGTTGCCACTATGATGTTGGTGAAAGATACTGAAAGTGGAACAGAACAAAAATGGCACCTTCACCTTCAACCAGTATGAATGCAATGAAAAAAAGTGAATTTGACTGATCAAATTTATAACTACATCGAGTGGATTAAATTATAAAGCGGTTTTGTCAAAAATACTGGCTTAACTGCACTGAAGTAAGGAAAGTTTTACAATTTTGGCATGTCTTAACACTTCAGGAGAATACCTTAGCCTTAATGTTGATTAGAAAATTCAGAAAGGCTATAGAATTCGAAAATATATCGTCTAATGCACTCCCTGTATATTGTAGAAGTCAGAATAATATTTGGATGGAATTTTATTCAGAAAATGGCTCTTCGATAAATTAATTTCTAAAGTGAAGAAGGTTCGTTAAGAAAAATGGCCTTCACATAAAACCTGTCTTATTAAACAATAATGCTCCTGCACATCCTAACGATAACACTCTTATGAAGGACATCGCTGTTAAATTTCTGCCTCCCGTTACGAGCATATTGTAACATCTGGGTGTTTTGGAGAATATTGCATAGAATTACAGATGGCAGTTATCAGAAAATTAGTTGCAGCTTACCGAAACAGAAAACCTCGTAAGCTCAATACGTAAAATAATGAGTTTACGAGGGCTCTACAGCAAATAGGCAACCAGCAATACATTTTTACAGATTTTATTACACAGTTTGTATAAAACACACACAAATAACAGACTTTCCCCCATTTTAACGCAGATTTTCTATAAACTGGACTTAGTTTGAAACTCAAATTACATTCTGATGTAAAGAAATTTGTAATTTACGATATACCACTTGCTCAAAAGCAGCAAATTACAAATTTCTTTACAACAAAACGTAATTTGACTTTTAAACTAACTCATTTTTATAGAAAATCTGCGTTAGAATGGCAGAAAGTCTGTTATTCGTGCATTGATTCATATTTAGACAAACTGTGTAATAAAATCTATAAAAATGTATTACTGGTTGCCTATTTGCTATAGCGCCCTCTTAACTGGGATAATCAATATTTTATTGTATATAGGCATGTTATTCAATAATGACGCTAATATAGCAGGTTTTATTGAAATTTTAGTAGTCACTATATACAGAGTGCAATAGAGAATACATTTTTTTCTCCGAAATTTGAGATACCCTACAGTGTACACAGGATAAAAACTGAATGTCTGATTGAATCAAAAATGTATCTCATCTTTTTCCAACAATTTGTTTTTTACTTTAAGACCATTATCTATGTTATTAATTGCGATATAGTTAAATTAAAGCACACCAGATGATTGCAAAAATTTGAGAGATTAAAACAGCGGTAACCGATAATTATAAAAATTAATGACAATACAGATGGAGAACTTAGTAACATCAACCTTTACCCATCGCTCTCGACGACAATGAAAACATTCTCTAAAAAACACGGAGACAAATCAAGGAACGATTAATGTCTGCAACCAGCAATACATTTTTATAGATTTTATTACAGTTTGTCTAAATATGAATCCGTGCACAAATAACAGACTTTACTACATTCTAACGCAGATTTTCTATAAAATGGACTTAGTTTAAAACTCAAATTACTTTTTGGTGTAAAGAAATGTGTAATTTACACGGCAAATTACAAATTTCTTTGCAACAAAAAGTAATTTGAGTTTTAAACTAAGTCCATTTTATAGAAAATATGCGTTAGAATGGAGGAAAGTCTGTTATTTGTGCATGGATTCATATTTAGACAAACTGTGTAGTAAAATCTATAAAAATGTATTGCTGGTTGCAGATATTAATCGTTCCTTGATTAATAATAGAGCTAATGAATAGAAAAAACACTGTCCTAAAAAAAATTGTACTACACTTTAATTTGAGCAGACATTAGCTACTGTATTATACCAGATGTTTCAAATTTCAGAGAAAAATATTATTTCTAGCACTCATAATTTTGTCAAAATGTCGCGAGAAAATCAGCTTTGAAATTGAGGCCCATCTTCAGTGGTACGTTACTTTCAATACAAAGTGTAGTTTTAACACCATTAACAAAATCTTTACAAAAAGTTTCCCACTGACTGAAACTTGCGGTGCACCACATTTACACTATAAAAACAGAATTAGTGACTGCGCGCAGAACAAAAGTTTAAACTCCTCAGAAACATGTAAAATATTTGGTCATATATGTTTCTCTTATCACACATTGTTCGAAATGTTTGTCCTTTTACAAAAACGGTAAAATTCAATGGACTAAATTAGGTGATCCCAGATTATCGATTTCCCTCTGCGCCCTGCTAATCTTACTCTTGTCCTTAGGAGTCTCCTGCTCTCCCGTTTCCATGGCGAACATCTTCATTTTTTCTTTGAAGGACAGCTTCTCGGGCACGGCGGCGCTCTGTGTCTGATCCTTGCGCTGGGCTTCTTCAGCCAGCCGCCTCGCCCTCGGGTCCCGGTAGACTTCTTGTGCCCCTATTACGCCCGGCGTGGCGGTCGCTACGCTGGGCGACACGTCCGTGGGAGTGTTGGGAGATGCCAGCATAGATTCAGCTTGACGAATGAAGCTCTGGAAAAAAAATGACATTTTATACTATATAAAATGGAAAAAAAGGGGTGGAAATAAAAAAATTTGATTGGGTTGTGTTCCGCTGACACAACCGTAAGAGTTACAATACGTGAATACGTCTTTGCACTTTGGAACTTATGATGAGTCGAAAAAGTAATTGGCATAGACTTTTTTTTATTTCTAAGGGCACAGGATCTAAAATTTAAAAAAAGCCTACTCCAAAACTGAGACACTTTTCCACAATTACGATCAAAGTCGGCTGCAGAAGTAATTGCAAGAATCATTTTTAGAACATTCAAGTATACAGTTTAGATCTATTCAAAAGTTACAAACAGACACAACTATTTCATGTTTTCACAGATCTTAATTTCTGACAAAATAATTTTATAGACATCTATTTCAAAAGGAAACTACAACGTAATAAACTTACATTTGGATCTTCCCTGATGGTCTCCTCGATCTGAAGCCTGCTGGGCGGAGGTTGGGGTGGACTGACTGAAGCGTCGTTGAATGACACTCTCTTGGTAGTCTCCTTGGCTCTCATTGACATCACGGCAAAACTGGAACCTCTCTCAGGAGGCGGAGGAGCGCTAATTGCTTCCGGCGGCGAAGGCTGGCTTCGCTGCTGGTTATTGGTGTTGTTGTTATTCGAGCTGGAACCACCAGGTTTGAGGATGGACGTTGGAGGTATTTGGGACGATTCCAGTTTGCTAGTCACTGTCGTAGAGGTTAGGGTGCTCACTACGGTTTGACTCGAGACGGGTTGTGGCATCGGCATGTGAGGTGTTGGGCTTTCCTGGAACGAAATTGAAATTTAATATGTAGTACCAATATTCTGTTTAAGTTTAACGTAACTGTAACTACTTTACTTATTGACTGATTTAAGGCTGGAGTTTCATAAACAAGAAATCTCACTTTTGTCGGAAGACAATGATAGAACAAGAAAATCCATCTCAACTATAGAAATGTTGAATTACAAGGACTCCTTGATCAGAGAAACTTTTCCTGTTCTGTCGAGAATTTTGTAAAAATACTCAATAATTATGATTCCGTTTATAGTTCCGTACGCGATTTTTTGTATATTCAACAAACTACATGTTTGTGCGGGATACAAAATATATAGGTTGTATGGAGACTTTAAGATTATCACCGACAAGAACACCGGCTACTTCAACACTACAAAACTCTGTCAGGATGGTGGACGAAGATTTTACAAGTGACTGGAGAATAAAAGCTTGTCAGTTCATTTGACTGCTGACAGAGGGCTGCAAGTCTTTTATAATTGATTTTACGGCATCCTGAATGACGTTTTATTCTGTTTCATTTTTTAGGTTTCGATTTTTTTCTAATGATTATTAAATTAATTTTATCCACGNAGTGCGGGAAACAAAATATATAGGTTGTATGGAGACTTTAAGATTATCACCGACAAGAACACCGGCTACTTCAACACTACAAAACTCTGTCAGGATGGTGGACGAAGATTTTACAAGTGACTGGAGAATAAAAGCTTGTCAGTTCATTTGACTACTGACAGAGGGCAGCAAGTCTTTTATAATTGATATTACGGCATCCTGAATGACGTTTTATTCTGTTTCATTTTTTAGGTTTCGATTTTTTTCTAATGATTATTAAATTAATTTTATTTAACATGAGCAATTTTTAAGTATATTTCATGTATAATATATATTTTTTTCTAAATAAAACAGTGAATCCAATTTAGAAAAAAAAATACATTTTTGAGTAAAACGAAAGTAAAGTAAAAAATAAGAGCAGTGGAACTTTTATACCATCCTGCCCTACAGTGTTGCACTATAGCAATGAAGCCATCAGATTTGATGGATTGAAACTGAACATGAACAAGTTCACAAAAGGTTTGAAACTTCCCATCGTTATCCACAATATCTAGTAAACAGTAAGGATAATTCGTCAGTCAAACCACTAGACATATACCAATTTTGAACTTATTAGTTCTCATCAATATGTCACAGATGGAGCAAGCGATGAATGATTCACCCATTTTTGGTGCAGTTCAATACCAGTTGGGGTATTAGTTCGCAGAGTAGTCGTTTATTTGCAGACTACTTTCTGCTTTCTGCACGTTTGGCTGTTTGAAGGCCTAATCATCGAGTAGCAATGTCTATTCATAGATGTAGTACTGTTACATCTCGCCAATGCTATATTATTTCATGTATTGCTAGAACCAAGAAGGACCTAAGTATTTCAAAACAAAAAACTACACTTTGTATTTTTCCGTATTAATGAATAAACAAATAAAACAATATTTGGGACATGCCAATTATAAAATGAATCGGACATATGCTGTTGCATTTCTACGAAATTTAACAAAACAACTAGAAAAGTAGGCAAGTCCACTGAGGCGGACTTGACCTTTCTCTCGGGCCTTCGACCCTCGAGCCCGAGCACCGCTCTGTAGTGCATTCTCTGTGGGTTAGTAAATAATAAATAACATTTTTCAAAAAAAGAAAAAATACGATCCGTCTGTGATTTGAACCCCAGCCTTCGGCTTCAGTCACGAGTTTTCAAAACGATCTACGGTGATCTAACGCTGGGAGAAGCCTGCACGGATTATTTGAAACCTTTGGCCTCAGAGAATGTACATAGAAAATTGAAATAGTACAAATCAATTTTTATCAGAAAAAATCAGAACCGAAAACGCTTCAAAAGACAAAATTTATTTTGACGTCTTCACTGACGTTTGTCTGTATCTCTGTCTAAACATTGGATGTACTTTGGGTATCTTTCTCGCATCGAAAAAAAATTCGATTTTCGGCGAGGACTCATTTTAAGAAGGAAATTTCTCTTAGAAGATGCTAAGGAATCGCCTTCATAATACACGTTTGGATAAAGGACCGGAGGGCCCTTCGGCTCGCCGCTTCGCCGCTCACAAGGAAAGCCTTTGATAACACCTTACGCCCGTTTTCGCGGCCGAATATGGGAGCGAGAGTAACCTACTACTTTTAACATATAAGGACAGTCTTAAAAATTGCTGGTTACTCTCTAAACATAAATTATTCTTGTAATATGAGAATTTTTTTAATTCAATCCGATAATCGACTTACCTTTTCCGTGTCATCGTCGTCTTGTTCAGCTGCCTCCATCGCCCTCCTCTGAAACTCCTTCTCAAGCTGCAACACTCGCAACTGTTCGTCCTGCTGCGGCGTCCTATACGGCAGAGAAGACAGTTCCCTGATCTGCTGCTCCTGCCACTGCCTTGCTGCCTCTCTCCTGGCCTCCTGCTGCCTCTCTTGCTCTTCCCTAGCCCAAGGATCTCTTGGTGGTTTGCTCGACTGAGAACCGCCCGTCGGATAAAACGCCATCTTTGGAGGGTCTTGAGAACTCGCCGAGTATAAGGGATGGGTACTCGTCGGGGGTAATTCGGGAAGGTCGTCCTTCTTCCCTGGTTTCGGGGCCACCGGAGGTGTCTTATAAGACGGCGATAAGGGGGATTGTTGCTGCGGCTGCTGTTGGATATAGTTCTGCTGCGGGTGGTACTGACTATGTTGCGGATGTTGGTTCTGATAAGTTTGGTTCAGGTTCAAATTCTGCATGCTCTGAGCGTTCTGCGACATCATGTGGTTGTAGTACTGCTGCTGTTGGTAGTACTGCTCCCTGTTGGGATGCTGCGGCCCGTAGGGGGGAGAGAGAATCCTATTCTGCCTCCGTCGGACTTCCTCGGACATCTCAGCTATTTTGGCCGCGCCACGTAAGTGTCTGTCTTCGTTGCTCAGTCTGTGTTGCTGCATGTGTTCGGGGTTCTGTCTGAGTTGAGGTATGTCGACTTTGCTGCTCTCGTTAGCCCTGATGTTGCCACTGCTGGCGTATCGCATCATGTCGCCTTGGGCGTGGTGTTTGAGTAAGTCCTCACTCTTGGATGTTCGCATTTCGTTATGCCTGGACATGTCGCTGTGTTGGATTTGCGCCTCTGAGATTCTGATGTTGCCCTGGCTGGGATACCGCATCATTTCTTCGTGTCGAGAATTCTGCGACTGCCTGAACACGTCTTCTCGCAATAGCCCACCCCCGGTGTTGTTGTATCTCTCTTGCGGTCTCTCTTCCGGCCTCTGAGCGTTCGGGTTAATGTGGAGCGGTTGCTGAACGTTATTCGGGTAGTTGGGGTTGCTGGTATGTGTAGGACTAGGATAAGATTGGTTGTCCTTCAAATTCTGACCAGCATAGGGAGGGTTGTATGGCATTTTTTGTATTTCTTCAGGAGGGGGATAATTGTTTTGGTTCTGTCTCATATACTGCTGACTGTGGGCATAGTTTTGTCCGTAGTGTTGGCCATACTGTTGATGGTTGACGCTAGGGAAGGATCCAGCCCTGTTGTCGTCATTGTGTAATCTGTGTGTGGAAAGAGGGCTTTTGAGGTTCGGGATGGATTGGTGTAAGTTGTTCGGCCTAGGATTGGTAGCTGCCGTATGAGGAGGATAGTAAGCCGAAGAGGGACGTTGGGTGTTGGCTACGGATGAGTGCAGCGAATTTTGGGAACTTCTTAATGCAGAGGTCCTGAAAAGAAACAATGTGTAATTAGAAAGATGTCAAATTATTGTTGCAAATATTTCATCAATATTGGCGTTAAAATGGCACCTAAGATAATACAGCTCCGGGTTTCGCTGCAGTCACTACCAAAGGTACAAAACCACCTTGCATGCAAATACACATACCGGGTGTTCAAAAAGTCAACGGTGACCTTGACCATGACCTTGAAGGTTATTTAGAGGTCAAGTTGAAAATTTTAAATGGAACCATATACTTTTGACCCCGGAAATGGAAAAAATGGGCATTTTTACGTTCGGATATGACCTTCATCATGACCTTCAAGGTCATTTAGAGGTCAAGTTGAAAATTTTAAATGGAACCGTATACTTTTGATCCCATTAAAATGAAAGAGCGAAAAATTTTACGTTTGGATGTGACCTTGAGGTCATGGTCAAGGTCACCGTTGGATTGCTCACTCACAACTCTGCAACTTTTGTCCTAATTATTTTTTTGTTTGAGCAGTATTTTGTGATAGAGGGGGGTTTCAAACTTTTTGAACACCCGGTATAAAAAATTTAATATTCACTTCAAAAGTGCATCAGTTTAAAAATTTTATCAAAATTAAAAATGATTATAATTTAAAAATATCCAACTGCAAGTTAATTAGTTTGATAAATAAATTTTGAAAAATATTTGAGAAATGTCTTAAGAGGCAACCAGCAATACATTTTTATAGATTTTATTGCAGTTTGTATAAATATGAATTAATGCACAAATAACAGACTTTCCTCCATTCTAACGCAGATTTTCTATAAAATGGACTTGGTTTGAAACCCAAATTACTTTTTGGTGTAAAGAAATTTGTAATTTACGATGCCGCTTGTTCAGAAGCGGCAAATTAGAAATCTTAAAAGGTTTTCCCATCTTTGTAAACATTTTATAATAAACAACAATTTTTCATTTTTGTTGTTGATTAAATAATATCTTGTACTGCTTAGTACCAAAATATATTCTATATTTTTTTTGTTATTTTCATGTAATTTGTTTGTGCTATTGAGAATTGGTAAAAATATTCCAAGTATGTGTTAATTTATAAATAAATACAAAAAAAAAAGTTATTNTTTTGTTGTTGATTAAATAATATCTTGTAGTGCTTAGTACCAAAATATATTATATATTTTTTTATTTTAGACTTCAACAAAGCACGTTCTTATAGCTCAGTATATGACGGTTTTTAGGTCCGAATTCTTGACACATGCACCGGTTGACGTGAAATTTTAACACTAGGTAGAAAATTGCTTAAGAAACAAGTTACATAGTGCCGATGTGTGCTTTCACCCTGGGGGTGAATGCTACCCCTTCTCGGGGGTGGCAATGAAGGTACCTATTTAAACGCAAAAATCAATAGAGGGATGAATTTTAAGCAAAAAATGCTCTATAACGTTTTTTGCAAAAATTTATATTTTCCGAGTTATTTTTGATTAAAAATGTTGATTTTTCATCTAAAAAGTGAATGTTTTTCAACCATTTTTGACAAATAACTCGAAAACCTTGCGTTTTATAGAAAAACCCATATAAAGCAAAAATAAAGCTTTTGAAATAATAAATCGATTCATTTTTGGTTGATTACCGTAGATGTAATAATAACCGAGTTATCACTCTCTAAAGGTGATTGTTTATTTTTCGGAAAGTAAAATCGAACCTTTTACCGTAAAATAATGGTGAAAGAACAAATTTTTTGAAGAAAATGAATATAAACTTTTTTAAAGTGATTGGAAAGACCTTTAAAATGCTTTTTGAAAAAATTTTGTAGCTCAAAAACTCGCGGAGTTAAGATGAAAATAAAATGGTCATCTCATTTTTTCGAAGAAAAAATCAACAATAAAATCTATGGTTGAACCATAAAAATAGAAACCCATGTACAGTTGACTTTATTTAGGTACTAATAATAGGCTCTGCAAGTTTGATCTGTTTAGAATGCCTAAATTTAAAAAAAGTTTGAAATAACGAAAAACAAATTTTTAATTTTTAAAAAAATTTCCTTTTTTTCGAAATAACTCAAAAACTAAACAACATACGTGAAAAATGCAAGAGTTCAAAATTAAAGGTCTTTTTTTTATATTTTTGCTCTCTTTCAATTTTTCTGTAGAGCAAAAATTAACCGAGATATTACGTTTTTTACGTTTGCATTTGTGTAAGGACCACCTTCATTGAGCGCTTAAAACCTAAAAATCTCGAAAACAAAGAGTTCAAGACCCTTCAACTATACGGGTTGATTTGTAGCTCTTGCAATTCCCTGCAAATTGCTTTTTGGAGCGATGAAAAATATTAAAAATTAAAAAAGTTATCGTGAAAAACGAATTGTATTATTCAGTGAAAATTGTCGGATCGTGTAAATGGCTTAATTTCTGATAGTTTCCAAGGCGTAATACACGCACAAACACACACACGCACATGTCCAAACAGAGGAAGTCGACAGTGACGATAGTTCTTTAGATGATATGTAAATTTTTGATAATAAAGTAGACTTAGTTGTATAATACACAAATAATTTTTATTTTCCCTTTCACTAATTACATAATTTAAATTTCGAGTTTTAAGTAATCTCGTTGAATTTAGTAATGTATCGTTGAGTGTTTCGAAGTAAGTAAAAATTGTTCAAATCCTCATTAAGGGTTATTTTTAAGGATTAAAACGTTGCAATGAATCATCAGTAATATTATAAACAGTGACGAGTCTTTCATTCATTATAAATGCTATGATGTGAAAATAATTTTTTGCTTTATTTTCTGCAATAGGGGTGGTTTTTAAGGGTTGAAACGTTGCAATAATCATTATTATTTCATAAACAGTAAAAAATATTCAATTCTTCATTATTGCTCCGTCAAAACATTTCAGAGCTGCAAAAACTAATTATTGTTTTTTTCCTCATACAGGGTGGATTTTAAGGGTTGAAATGTTGCTACAAATCAAAAATTATTATTCAAAACATAAAAGAATGCTTATTCTATTGACATAACAGTCATATCTATGGTTTTTACGTTTATTGAAAGAAGGGGTAGTTTTCACCCCCTAAAAACAATAAGCACACATTATGGATATGTAACTTTTGTAAAGGAGGGTGAAATAAGCTTACTCACCAATTTTCATGAAAATCGGTGCATGTGTCAAGAATTCGGAGGTAATATCCTATTTTTACCGTTGTATACTGGACTATTATGAGTATTTTTTTTGTTATTTTCATGTAATTTGTTTGTGCTACTGATAATTGGTAAAAATATTCCAAGTATGTGTTAATTTATAAATAAATACAAAAAAAATGAATTACTAACAGTAATAACTCACCTATCGCCGAGATGCTGGGGACTGGGAATCTTATTCCTGTAAATGCTGAGATTCTGATAGAACCCGCCGTCCTGTTGAAGCAAGTTGTGGGTGGATCGGCTGCGCAGCCCAGCGGGGTTATTCAGGGGACCGTTGTGAGTATTCTGAGGTGGGTTGTTGTTATTATTAATACTATTGTTGGAGGAGGTTCTGCTGTAGCCTGGACTGAAAGCTTCGTGGTTGGTACGGGGCTGTTCAGAATTCGGAGAGTGGATTTGGTGGAGAGCGGGGACAGATTTCGAGGAGGGAATTGTGCGTTCCGAGTCGACTCTAGAAGGCAAATCCCGTTCCGACATCCTTCTAGATCCTAGTGAAAGAAAATGTTTCAGGATTAATATTTCCCGCATTTAAACGTTTAAATATGAAAAATAAAAGCGAACATACACTGCTAAGAAATTATATGGTTGCAAAGAATATAATTATCATGCTTAAACAGATAAAATAATATTTATTAAGATTTGACTGAAAAAAAAAGTATTTTTTAATTTAGATAAACACCTAAAAAGTATATTTTTCATTCATCAAAATTGGTAAAACAAAATGAACAAATTTTCTTTGACCACTGTTTCTAATACCTAATTTTTTCAAATGAAATTAAAATGGAACAAAGCAAACAAATTGCTTGAAAATATTGGAACTGTGCGCAACAGATAATCGTAATCTTACGATCAAAAGCGCCAAGTCGAATATCCGTTAAAGCAGCTAACCTAGCAGCGTTATCTAAGTTGTCTCGCACGATACTAGCGCAGCTCCGCGTCTTCCTAGCGGCTCTTGGGGAGTCACTACAATTTTTCAAAACGGGACAAGTTTTCTTGGCATATCTACAGCACTTTCGTACAGTTTTCTTTGTTTTAATGTCCGAACAACTTTTCCACGTTTTTGGCAAATATTTCTTCCTCACGACGAGAATTTTAGGTGATTTTGGTTTGTTGTTGTTTTCATTATTTTTCGCAGTACTTCTTCTTGCACTGTTACGTCTAGTAACGATGTAAGATTCAGGGAATTTCTTGTGGTCCTTTGACTTGTTTTGTAAATCGGTAAGTCTCTCTAGGCTATCACATCGAACTAATTGACTATTGAAAAATTTGTTAGACTCTATAATTTCACTAAAACGACGATTATACTGTTTTGGCTTCTTTTGTATATTGGTTATATTATTAAGACACTCTACTTCGTCAAGGCATTCCTTACTGTTTTTCAAAATACCCTTCAGTTTTGGTTTATTTACAGTACTATCATCTACTTTTGAGTCTTTCGTCTTGGTCCCTTCTTTAGGCAAAAAGTCAATGTTAAAAATGCAGTTCTTAAACTCACATCTATGAGAAAAATTGTTGTCGATAGTGTTTACAGAATTGTACTTTGTAATACTTAAGTTGTCTCTGTTTTTCTGTTTTGATTTTGGGGACAGATCTGGTTCCGAACTGAACTTTACGCTAACACGTCTTAAATTACTTTTCTCCGACCTCTCTATGTTTTCCTTTTCGAAGCATTCATTATTTTTTGACATTGAAAGCTTCATATTAAAGTCGCTTTTCGATTCTGAACCATTCAAACTCCAATCATGTAACAATTTCAATATTTCCATCCTCTCGTATTCCGTCAATTTATCATTCAACTTCTCTTCGCTAACGCTTTTGCTCCTGCTCGCAGCAAATTTCTTTTTATTCAACACAGGCACACTTATAGCTTTGTTGTCGAACTGGTGTGCTAAATCCTTGACTTTTCCGTGCCTTATTTCGTACGGCGACTTCCAGTTCTTATGCCGAATGGGCGTATCGGGCCCTAATTGACTCAAATCGAGATTGGATTCATGCACGCCGCTGTTGATACTGGACGTGGAACTAGACAAATCTTGAAGCGACGTAGAAGACAATCGTTGCTGTCTATATTTCTTTCCACTAGTATTTAGGAATTTGTCTGTATCACTAAATTCGTCGTTGTAAAAAGAGGCGTCGTTCACTTCGATCGAATAGCTCTTTTGCTGGACAAAATTGTTAGCTTTGTCTTTCCAAGACTTGTTGACCGGTTTGTGGAACTCTTCCACTTTGTCGGTCTTCATGCTGGTCCCCGATTCATCGTAGGTTAACGTAATATTCTTTGGAGAGGGTTCCGAGAAATCGGTTACTTGTAAATTAAAAACCGGCTCGTCGCTTACTATTTCGATGCGGGGTATGGTGAATTTACGCTTTTCTGATTTGAATAAGCTGTCGTCGGAATTGAAAAATATATTGTTTTTCAGTTTTGTCGCCGGGGGAGTGAAGATGCGGTAATTCTGGGGGCTGTACAGGGATTCTTGTGAACTCTGTACGTTATCGTAGAAGCTGTAATCCGTGGCTGCATGTACAAAAGGAGAAAAACATGATAGCAATAAGGAGAAAATTTACAGCTACGTGTAAGGAAACAAATAATGTACAATTAATTAATTAATAGAGAAGTATTTTGAGCTAGCTCGAGTTGCATCTATTTCATTACATCTATAAAAATTTTGCAGCAGTTCAAATTATTATACAGGGAGTTTAGAAAATAACATTTTAATACTTTCCATGGCATCGTTTTGGTCTGCACCTGCACTTCTTCCCTAAATTTGCAAATAATTATTAAAATCTCTACATCAACTGAGATTATATATAATTCGACATTTTTTGGGACGGATTTCTTGTATTTTCCAAGGAGACACGGTAAAAGTCATTGGCACAATTTTCAAGAAAAATTCAACACATCGCAATTATCAAATGTGTTTACAGATACAGGCCATTTTTTATTTTTAGTTGTTTCTTTTTTTGCGATTTAAAAAAATTGTGACAATTTTTGATAGTTTAGAAGCACCATTGGAATTTACGAAAGAATTGACGAGAAATCCTCTGCAATAATCAAAATTTCAAAAAATAAAAAAATTATAAAAATGCACTATCTTTTAATCGAATAAAAATATTGAAATGCAGTTTTCAAAATACATTTTTTTTTAAATTGATCCCTTGATACTTTACTACTATTTGTCCTCCTTGGCAAATACAAGGAAACTTCCAAAAGTGTCGAAACTGTCCCACTCTGTACACCAATTAAAGACTTGATTGAATTTTTTATAACAGATAAACTTGCACTAACAAGATTCGTAAATATTTGGTAAATAATTTGATTAAAAACAATAGTTTCTAAAAAAAGATAAACCAAAAACTTTATGATATTACGCTTACCCCTATGTGGCGTCGGACTCGGTTGCTGCAACAGCGTAGCCAATCCGTGATAAACAGCACCGGCTTTAGCCACTTCCAGTGTGACGACACTGCTCGTCCTCTGCAGAAACTCCGCAGCTTTCTCCTGAGTGATTCCAAGTAACGACTGACCATCTACCGACAGCAATTGATCACCAGCAGCAAGCCGGCCGTCTCTGTCAGCCGCACCACCTGGCACGACGGATTTTATGTAGATTCCTAGGCGTTCCTGCCCCGCGCCTTTCGCTGCGACTATGGAGAGACCCATTCCACCACCTGCCTTGTGTAGTCGTATCACCTGAATCTAAAATAAAAGATAGATAGAAAAAAAAAGATAAAAAAACAATACAAAAAAAAGTTAATAAAACAAAATTATTGATAACAAAAAAAGTACGGAAAAGTTTATACATATAAATATTGACAAACTAAGGCACATTAAACAGTAATTGTCAAAAACTAAGTTCAACTTACAGATTCTATCAGATACAAATTTTTATAGTCATTTCGTTGATTTTAATCTTAAAGTATATGTATCCTGTATATATTATTACAATTATACAGGGCGTTAATATACTTTTGTCAGTAATTTAAAGCGGTGAAAAAGGAGCAAACACTGAGTTAACTGATGTCACAGACTTGTATCGGAAGGTTAACGTCATAGATAAAAATGCTATTTAAAAAATGTGTTTAAAACTGTTTTGGAACTGTTGGAATACATATGTTTTATCGCGGCGAGTACTTACAAAAAATTCTGTACTTTTGACGAGTTTGTAGGTTTCTTATGAAGCCGGACTGTATTTGAAAGTTAGTTTGTAATGCATTGTTGTAGTGCTTGCTGTGCTGTTTTTCGAGAGTACATTTAATAGCCTTATTTTAAAGTTTTTTTTTTGGAAATGGCGTATTTATCTAGAAATTATGATTATTATGATATGCTCATAATTTATGGCGAGCGAAGCAAACGAAAATGCCCACAGATCTTGTCAAGTGTACCGTGCAAAATATCCTAAACGACGTGCCCCCGCAATCAACCAATATTTTCATTTACACTTTACTTAATTTCCACCTACCTCTGGCTGCGTCGTGCTCAGAGCTGAAGGTGGCCTGGGGGCAGACATGTAGACAGTCCAGTGCCCCGAACTTGTAGGTTGAGCGGCAAGCCTACAAAGCCCAGAAGCTTGCAGGGGATGTAGAAAATCAGCTAATCCTGGCGGGACTCCTTGCACGACATCACAACTAAAGCCATCGTCAGGGAGTAGAAGCTGGAGCGGTGGTGCTGGGTCTTCGTACAAAGTCACTTCCCGACCCTCCGCTCTAGCCAGTTCGTCGGCCACACTCTCCGCTGCCTTGGCAGCCTGTTCTAAGAGAGATGGAGATGCTAGTTTCTCGCCAGGCTCCGCTGAAATGAGTAATATTTTGAGATTATCAAGGAGAAATTTGAGGCACCGATGGTATGTGTCGATGATTTAGTGCTATTAATAAATTTGATGAGAGGCTGACCTGCTAAATTTGTATTTTTATATCTTATCTGGGAAAATAAATCAAGTTCTTCCACTTCAGTGGAATTTCAACCAGCCCACCAAATATAAATTCCAGTTAAATAAGTATCAATTTCCTAGATATCTTAATCCCTATGTAAACAAAATAAATCTTTAATTTATCATCAGATCTTGACAGTAATTGTTATGAAAAATATATTTTTTTTTACTAAAATATGTACATTGTTATTTTTATTAATTGAAAACATGTTTTCTATATATTTTTATCTCTAATTTATAACTTACATACGGGATGTTCATTTCGATTTATGAATGTGCGAGCAATTAACGTAATGATTAATTAATAAAAAAATAAATGAAGATCAAACATTTTATTATGCAGGGTGGACCCGAGGTAACGGGCCAAAATTCATGGGTAGATTCCCCAAGCAAAAATATTGCAATTTGGCCGAACTTAGCTTAGTCCAAAAGTTGATGGTTAAAGAAATACAAAATGTTAACTGTAAAATATTATTTAATTTTTTTTTCATTTATTCCTTAACAAATGCAAATATCCTCACAAAATTTTGGGGTTTGGAGTTCTTTGGGTAGAGGAATTGAAATCTATTCCCATTTTGGTTAAAGTTCATAGAGGGCGCTAGCTGCCGTAGATTGAATGTGTTAAAAACGACATAACTTTTTTGTACTTTAAGGTATCTCATTTTTGGCATCAAATTCTTATTTTCCAACTTTTTTTGCACAAGAAAGGTATACTTTATGAAAGTAGCTATCTTGCACCGTTTTCGAGATATTTGGCTTTGAAACTTCCAATGCTGTTGCATTAAATTACAATTAAGTACCTACAGGTATTAATTTAGCGGTAAAGTTTCTTAAATAGGATTTGCACGAAAATCAAATAATTTACGTTTTCCACTTGTCTTATTGCTGTCATTTGTATGCTAATTTCTATTAAGTATTATTTGTACCTAATTAAAATTACATCTTATTGCATTTTTGGAGTTACCTACATACAATCAGTTGTATATGGAGAAACTATAAACACCTGAGAAGAACTTTAGCAGCAGGTTTTAACCCTTTTGCTGCGCAATACGTCTGAACGTAGCTACCGCGCCGTGCACGATTGTTTATCGCGTGCGAATATATACGTCTGGAGCAGTTAGACCACTTATAGTTTTACATTATGTTGTGTTAAATTACGATTTACGATAAATTTTACGATTTTATTTTGAATAAAATACAGTATATGTACTAAATAGAAACTGAAAGAAACATGAACAATCTTGGTACTATTACCAGTACCTCTTTCCATAAAAATATTTGTCACAATCGGTATAAGCTCGCCCGCAAAAATTCGCCTTACCAATTGCAATAACCGAGTCACTATGCGCACGGTTGCGAATATATACGGTTTGAGCAGCCTGATCCAATTTAACTATTCATGCGAATTTATCCGTCTGGAGCAGTTTGAGCCCTATAAATTTTTAGCGAATATATACGTCTGGAGCAGTGAAAGGGTTAAATGGTGCAAAGTTATTTCGCGTTAAGGATTTATACTTTAAAATAAAACAATCTTTTAACAAACGCGTTGATAAATGTATTTAAGTTAGAGGTGGATATTTTGAGCTATTACTGTCAAAACGGCATATTTTTTTAATAATGTTTACTATTTTACTGTTCATTAAATTACAATTTTTAATTCTAAATAAACCCTTGTTTTTGACATTTCTAAATTACTTTAATTATTTCAACTATTAGCATTGGAAGTTTCAAAGCCAAATGTCTCGGAAACGGTGCGAGGCAGCTACTTTTATAAAGTCCACCCTTTTGTGTAAAAAAAAGTTGGAAAATAAGAATTTGGTACCAAAGACGAGATAGCTTAAAGTACAAAAAAATTACGTCGTTTTCAACACATTCAATCTACGGCAGCTGGCGTCCTCTATGAACTATAACCAAAACTAAACTCCAAAATTTTGTGTAAATATTTACATTTATTAAGAAATAAATGGAAATAAACTAAAATAATAGTTTACACTTAACACCCCGTATCTCTTTAATTATCAACTTTTGGACTAAGGTAAGTTCAGCTAAATCGCAATATTATTGCTTCGGGAATCTATGAATTCCATCCATGAATATTGGCCCATCTCCTCGGGACCACCCTGTATACTCACATATTTGCAAACTATAACTTTCTCAACATTGCAAATTCTAACTACAATTTTTTAGGAGTTAATTGTTTTAAATTCAGATCAGTGATTTTTTATTGTCTCTTGGAATGACACTAAAATTTTCTTTTCGATTATTAAACATTTATTTTGTAAGAAAAACTACAAATTTTTCATGCAAGTACAAATTGTCCATTTTTAGTTGATATTAACCGAGACGAAACAAAACTTATAAAACAAAAATAAAAATGTACCATAAATTGTTAAATTTTTAAATTTTATACAGGGTAAGTCAGACTTGTTTGACGCAGGAGCATGTTGAAAGTAAATAGGGTTTGTCAGATAGAATGCTCCATCTAGATTGAAACTGAAGTATTTTTGATTGAAAATTGAAGTATATTTTAAAATCATTTCAAGTTTTTAATAAAAAAAATTTGTTACTATTTTTTAAAGCACTGTGTTTAGTTTGTGGATTTTAGCGTCAATGACCTCTAACAATGACCTAGTTTAGGTGATATAAATAAATAATTTCGATCCACCTGATTTGCAATGACAACACTGTTAATTCAATTAAACAAGAATTTTAGTTTATCGGTTTACAAAGTGTTTGTAATATGTTATGGAAATTTTGTGATTTTCTGTAAGAAGTAATAATGTTTTGGTAGAATTGAAACAGAATTGGTATATTGCAGTGTTGATTGACCTTATAAAGTTATTTATTTCAGTATTTAGCGACGGTATGGTGTGTTTGTGTGTCTTCATTGTTAAATTCCTGTGTAATGCTATCAAAAAAACAAATACATATACCGGGTGTTCCATTAAGGACAACGACTGGCTGTATCTCGGAAACTATTTGTCCTATAGATTTTGGGAAAAAAATGACTAATATGACCACTAGAAATTCAATAAAATTATTTTTAGCTTCTAATTTTGGCCGTTAGAGGGTACATTTCTAAAATAAAAGTAAAAAAATGTCTTATTTTAAAAAATCAGACGGAACGATAGATACAACTTATTGTTATCGAGACCTTCTGCTCTTTCTTCAAAATTTTTGTTGGAAAAATTTTGCTCCATCTTAAAAAATAAAGGAAGGGGGGATGGAAATTATTTCCTATGACAAACAGTGAGATAACTCTGGATTACGTAAACCGATTTCAACGAAGTTGGGCTTGTTTGTTGAAAAGGCAATTGATTGATTAATCAAAACCTTAAATTGAATTTCAATTTAAAAAATAAACAAACCGTCAATTGGCCGTTTTCCTAATGAGTTTTAATGATTTTCAAAAAAAAAAAAAATCAAATGTAATGCTACCTTTTTTATTTTATGGTGTTTTTACACATAAAATAACGAAAAAAATGCCGCAAGCCGGAACCTTGTATCTTCGTTCAAACTATTTAATACAAATAATTTCCACCCCACTTCCTTTATTTTTTTAGATGGAGGTTTTTTTTCAACAAAAATTTTGAAGAATGAGCAGATGATCTTGAAAACATTAAGTTGTATCTATCGTTCCATTTGATTTTTTTTAAATAAAGCAGTTTTTTACTTTTATATTAGAAATGCGTCCTCTAGCAGCAAAACTTAGAAGCTAAAAATAATTTTATTGAATTTCTAGTGGTCATATTAGTCATCAATTTTTTTCCCCGAATACACCAGCCTGTTCAGTGGCGGGGTAGAAAATTATGAAAAAAAGTAACTAGATAAAATTCGTTTTACCGTTGGCATTTGGAAAAAGAAATTTATGGCATGTGTTTTGCAGTCCTTCACAGAGCCAAATTCATAGTTTTCTTTTAAACAAGATATTTTAAAAAACATGTTTCTTGGCAATATCAATGATTTATCTTATTTTTAATTAAGAATAGTATAATTTTTGTAATTTCATTTAAATTTTTCAAGAATTTTCTCATGATATACTTTATAATAGTATTTTCGCCAATCATAACTTTTCTTAGTGTATCTTTTAGTACTTTATATCTGAAACATTTAATTTGTTGATGTAATTACAAAAAACTTACCTTTGTACTGCATCAATAGAGCACCTAGCTGCATTGAATTCAGCTTAAAGCAAGCCGCCGACAGATTCGCCAAATCCTCAGGCGCATATTTGGGAGCCTGCAACAGATGAGCGCACTGAACGATCTTCGCCAGATGACATTCCGCGGCGAGTTCCAGCCCCTGAGACTCGGCCCAGGCCTGCAAGTTCCTCAACCGGTTGAACAACTTGTTGCCAAAATTCCTCGTGCACAAATTGCTATTGCTTATAACGTTCGACAGTGCCTTGGCCGAGATCCAATGGAACAGCTGGGAGAAGAGCTGAATGGTAAGCGCGGCGTTCACTCTACACTTCCTCAACAGATTCATAGCACCACTTAGGATATTTATAACCTCCCTGGGATGATCGTCGCCTGTAACGGACATTAAGTACGCCATGGCCGAGTTCAATTCGTCCGTCAAGCAAGCCACCAGGTTCTTGAAAGCTAACTGTACTGCGTCCGCTAAGGTGTCCTGAGCTTGTAGAGAAAAAGCACTGACATGCCTGTCCGATTTCAGGAAATGCAGCAGTTCACTAGCGTTCGCTAACCAGAAGGCTTGAGAGTTACTTTCCGTGCTCCTATCCTGCACCGTATGCCGGATTAGCATGGCGGCGTGTTGTAGTAGTAGAGTGAGCTTGTGCGCCCGCTCTGTTGGTGTCAGTTCAGGTCTGTAGTGGGTCGATGCACGATACCGGGCACAGAGGTACAACGTGTAGGCGGGCGCTAGTCTGAATGTTGGTGTCGTCACGTCCAGGTGGGTTATTACTCTGGCTAGGAACTGTTCTTGGGGTTCCTCGGGGAATTCTAGGACTGCCGGTAAGATGGGGTCTTGACCGCGAGGGTATCTATCCATCCCACCAAGTCTAAGAAAAAAAAAATGTTATATAATTTATGCATATTTAAATATTTTAGCAAATCGATTAATGTAAGAACAAATATTTTTATGGAATGGTGTTTTCTTTTTCAATGACAAAAGGGCATTAATAAAGGATTATTAAGTTAAAAACTATTTGATTAGATTTTCATTTTACCATACTAATTACAGTAGTAGGACTTAGAGATTTAACAATCTGAAAAGATAAAATTGAAAAAATGTATCACTTTTTTCGGATGTCAAAAACTGTGAAATTTGAAAAAACTTAGATAAAAAAAATCATTAACATATTTTTCCAGGTACATTTTGCTGCAATAAAGATACATGGATATGAAAATAATAAACAAAATATATAATCTGGATGCCATTAAATTAAAAGAGCTAAAGCACAAATTATCAAGACAATTATATAATATTTTATTTAAAACAATAAATATAAATAAAATCTAAATTTTTCATTACCAAACAATGAAAATAAACAAAATGTCAATTCTTCCATGTCCGTAACACCAAATTAAAAAAGTTAAAAAGATTTATTGTGTAAATTCAGTTAAAGGAGGATCTTCAGATTCCATTTGTAATGCTTCTGGTGCTATTTAGAAAGTGTGGAATTTCCAGGAAATTTTATAGGTCTGGAAATATTAGGTAATTTCTCTAAACCTTATACATATTTTACAATTCCAACTGTATTGATTTTTATTTATGACGTGCGGCTATCTATATAGTCTGTGTCTTATGTTAATTGACTGTCATTGAATTAGTTTACAGCCTAGTTCTTACAGTCATGAATTGTGAAAATCATAAATTATTCAGATAGGTTTTCAAAAATGTATTATTGACCAAATTTAAATTTTTGGATACAGGGTGTAGCATTGGTGCGTCGAAGTAAGATATCTCCTTTATTATAGAAGATATCAAAAAAAGTTATTTACAAAAATTGTAGCGAACTTAAAACTGCACATTTTAAAATTATTTTCGTATATTCAGGGTGTTACGTATTACCAGGGTGAACCAAACATACTATTTTTTAAACAGGACAACCTACATATTATTTCAAATTTAGATTAAGCTCATGTCTCCTATGCTTCCAATGTAGGGTATAATTATGTTATACATTTTAAAAGTTATGGTCAATTGTATACGAGAATCATTCCCATTTCAGCGTCCTGTATACTCTAAACAGAACAACTTAACAATAATTTTTTGCAGGCACAACTTTTTTGATATTGGTACAGTTTTACGAGAAAGTGCTATTTCTTTACTTTTGCAACAGTTGAATATAGGGCGAGCTAAAACTCGTGTATAATTTTCTCAATTTCTTTAAATGAATCACTGTATTTTATTTTAAAAACTGAAATAAACTTTATGTTCTTTTATTTTTATAAAACATTTTCTATAGCTAAAATCATTAATTTCTGAGATATTTACCATTTAATAACAAAAAAAGTTTTAAAAAAAATTCCTATTATAACAAGTTGGCCGTGGGCAAATGACAGTGTGACAAATTGTTATAAAACATTACAAAATATCCGTTGTTAAGACGAAATTCTTATAATATTAACCAACTTGTTAAATTGTTCTGTCTAGGGTTTACAGGATGCTGAAATGGGAATGATTATCGTTATCTCGTATACAATTGACCATAACTTTTGAAATACCTTGTATAACATAATCGAACCCTATACTGGAATCACGGGATAGATGAGCTTAATCTATATTTGAAATAATATATAGGGTGCTCCATTTAAAAAATTGTATGTTTGGTTCACCCTGGTAATACGTAACTTTTGTAAATAACTTTTTTTGATATCTCCTAAAATAACGGAGATATCGTATTTCGACGCACTAATGCCGCACCCTGTATATATATAAAAAAGTATATTAAAAAAAGTAATTTTTTTTAGTGCTGCTTTTATGTCTACTATTATTTTCTTACATTAATTTTTTTCAAAGTTTTGAACCTCTGGATATCAGTTCATGACGAGCTGCTCTCAATTTTTTGATTGAAATGTACAGTATCTCCATGGTTTAAAATTAGTAATTTTGTTCGAAGAACGGTTAGCAACTATCAGAAACCATCAAGCACATGCGCTTTAGCGAAATAATGTTCGAAGAACAGCAAATCAGCAACGCTGACAACAAATTTGGTGTTTGTAGAAAGCAACAGACTAATTTTCAATCAGCTGGAAGTGATTAGAATAATTCCCAAGGATTTCCCAAGAAATTTTTGGTTTGGAACATGCGCATAAGTTTCGTACAGCAGAATTTGTAATATTTTTTGAACTTGTTAACCTATAACTTGAGTATGTTATGCATTGTTTTAGTTTAATTTAATTAAAATATATATTAATTTTTCTAATTAATCCCATTTCATAAAGATTAGTAATTGTATTAATTATTAACACTGAATATGTTTGTTAGGTACATACATAAAATAATAAAAAATAGACAATAAAATACAAAAATACTATTTCATAATTTTTTTATAATATAATTTTTTAAAATAACAATTTAAAAATGCGTTTCATATCGATTTGATCTAAAATCAGTTATGGATAACACGTCGGCATTTGGTACCAAACTCAAACCGTTGTAAATTCATTCTTTGAATAAAGCTAGTATAAAACCGATTTTTCTTTTATTTATTTTTTTTTAATTCGTGACTTATAAATACCTTGACAGTTTTCATAACCAACATTTAGGACTATTATGTTGCACATAAATGAAAATATATTGCACACAAGCCAACATTTTATTTTTTCGTTATAAAAATAACAAAAATCCTGTAACTTTATTATTACCACATTATTTCCCAGTTTTCAAAAACTGAAATCCTGAGCCACTCTAAAACACCTACCTATTCTCTGTCGAAGACCCTAAGGATCTATTGTCCTCTCTAGCTCCACTGGCTGTGGAAACTGTCTCTACATTGCCTTCTAAGTCAAAGGTAGTTTCTATATTTTCCCTAGACGAAGCTTCAGTAGGGCTAAGGGCACGAGGGGATCTGCTGCGGGTTACGCAAAAAAAGCAAGAAAAAAAATAAAGAAATAAATAAAACAGCAAAAATAAAAAAAAATCATAAAATTGCAAAAAAATGTGCAACAAAATTAAAATAAATATTTATAAAGCTAGGCAGAATAAAATGCGTACAAAATATTTTGCATTATTTAAATGTTTATCAACATTTTAACATGGTCTGTGATTTTAACCATTTAATTTTGATTTTATATTTTTCATAATGTCATTCGGATATGTCTCAAATCTATGTAGCTACTAAAGGTGCATCACTTCTATAAAGTGTTTCAAAAAAGTACTTAGGCTAAGCCTTTATTCATAGATTCCTTGGATGAAGATGATGGGACTTATGCCTTTTTTTGGTCACCTCCTTTTCAAGACACCTTGTTGTCAAAGTTACATTTCAAAAAATAAATTTGTCAATAATTCATTTGTTTTTTAAGACATTGAGTTAGTTATATTGTCTTAAATTATTTATTAGTGGCATAGTTTTAGATTTTCCTGTGTTTACTGAATGAAAAGTATTAAAAAAACAGGTGTTTCAACTACTTCACCATGTGTGTGATACAAGTCTTTGCAAACTTTTTAACTGAATATCTCAAAAACCAACGAAGCTATTAATAAAAATATTTGTTAATATAAATTTCGACACCCTGTATCTTGAAAAAAAGGCGCCCAACCGAAAAAGTCATAAGGAAAGTTCCATTATCTTCGCTCAATGAACCTAACTTGACCCACTTTTTGTAACACCCTGTATATTTCGCACGACAAAACCGTCAGTTGTCAGCAACCCCCACCTGTCGTATATCCTGCTGCCGTTGTCCATGTTCGTGAACGGCTGCCTCGTCCTGTCCTCCTGCGTGGGGTCCAGGAACCTGTAGGTGTTGCTGTGGCCGAACTTCACCAGGCTGCCGTGTGTCAGGATGGTCGTCTGGTGGATCCTCTGGCCGTTGACGTAGGTGTGGGCGTCCGCGTGGCACGGAGTCAGAGACGTGACCCCGTCGGTGTTGGTGATGACGCAGTGACGAGGCTGGATGTGAGGGCCGTACAGCTGCAGGGCGATGCCGTTGGCGGAGCCCACCTGGAGCAAGGAGAACTGGTGTTATTAACGCTGACAGAAATTTGTACAGGTCCGTATCGAATCCATATGTGCGACAAATGATTATTCTTAATCTTATTTTGAAATTTGTTCGCAAAAAAAATGTAAAAAATTACGGGGGCTGTAGGTAGTCCCGAGCCTTACGAGATTTTTTTTTAGAAAGAGGACTTACGTAGAGCTTGTAGCCCCGGGCCTCACCATAGGTTAATCCAGCCCTGGATGGGAGGATCTAATTGTAAGGTAGCTAAGTACGATATTAACCTAATACCTTGAAATATTAGGAAATATAATCCAAAAACTCTGAAAATACTTCGAAATAGGTCAAAAACTTCAACATACATATCTCGAAAACATGGAAATACTTTAAATTATACATACTTAGAAAACCTCAAATGGGTGGAAATCTGGAAATATCTTGAAAACTGCGAAATACTTTGATGCTTCAAAATAAATACAAATGATTAAAGAATAAAATGAAATTCTTCAAAATAACTTTAAAATGCATCAGCATTCGTCGGATCAGCTTTAGATTTAAAAAAAGAACAGTTGTAAAATATGTCAAAGCATATCGAAATGTTTCAAAATCTTCAGTTTAAGAATCTTAAAAAAAGGTTAGAAAATGTAACAAAATATGTCTAAACGGTTTAAAAAAAAGCACTAAAACTGTTTAGAATACGTCAAAATCGTTTCAGAAAGTCAAAAGCCAAATGTCAAGTCAAATATTAATGGCAGGGCGTAATGTGAATGGCCACGCCCAAAGGTCGATGCACTTTGATATATTTTACCCCTTTTTTATATACAATTTTTTTAATTATAAAATTCTTCAACCAATTTGGAATCATCTTCAAATTATTAGTATATTTTAAGATAGAATAACCATAAAGGATTTTACCCTAGATAGGAGTCTAAGATAATACAGGGGTCTAAATTAAAATATGACATCTATTTAGGTTTCATCTCAAGTTGGATAATGTTTCGAAAAACTACTAAAAACAATCGATGACTAAAATATCTAAAACAAATGTCGCACTTTCATTTTCAAAACAAATTATAGTTACCTATGATTGAGCTATTTTAGATGCAATAGGCTTTTGAAGAAACGTTGGTATAGTTATAAAATACATTGTAATGCAATTTTAGAATTAGATTTTATAAACCAAACACCCAGTACAAATAAAGATAAATTATTGTATTCTTTTTACAGATTTATTCCATTTATAAATTACATTGTAACGCAATTTTATAATTGGATTTTATAAACCAAATACCCAGCACAAATAAAAATAAATTATTTTATTTTTTTTACAAATTTATTCCAGAAATGGTAAATTTAATATAAAAAAAATTTTGCTGATTTTATCTTGGATTTTAATTAATTTTAAAAAGTGTCGTTTGTATTTCAGGTTAGACAGTTTTAGTTATTCAGAGAAATGTTTCCTAAATTTCAGAAAATATTATTTGTATGAAATTATTACAATCATGTAATAATGAAATTTTAGATATAGGTATCTATAATTATTTTTCTATGTACTTTTTAAAACGATTTCTAAAATATACTTGATACCATCGGAAATACAATTGAGCGCTTTTTGAAATACATCTCGAAAAGGCGAAGAAAGAGAAAGTGAGTTTTTTTTTATTATCATCTCTCTTTCTCTCTACTTCTGAAAACACCAGATTTCCTCCAAAACCCGGTTTATACCACTTTAAAACTCCACTTCCGGTCGTGTTTTTATAAGGATCTGACTGAAAAAATATCGGAAACCTCACTCACCATTTCGAACTAATAATTTTACTGGTCCTATGTATTTACATCTATTGTTTTCTCTGCACAAGAGCCACTGCAACGCGGAACACCCACCGACCAAATGTAAAAGGAGCCCAGTGTATGGCTTTCGAGCCGTCAACAACAGGATCTATGTTTGGCTACTAACGAGAATAATATTCCCACATGTATATTTTAGAACAACACTCGGCCTGATATGAAACGAACCAGACGCTTTCTGGCCCTCTGTACATATAATTATACGCTCATTTAGATAATTGAATGATCATGATTCGGATTTAGGGTAAAATATTGCGCGAGGTGGATTTGCAGACGTCTCGGTTTAATTTGGACTCTTCAGCAGTGGATTCGCCAAAAGATCTCTTGCTTGCATCATAAAAATATATGGATAATCCAAAAAACTATCAAGTTAAAAATGATCTTATAAAGAAACTTAGAGGGCAAGCATTTAGTATAATTTCATGTCTATAAGCGTAAAGCGTCGTGGAAAGGCCATTGTTATATTCTTTGCTGATGTTTAAAGTATCAGTTGTTATAGGCATACACTGCACTTCCTAAACTTATCTAGAAATCTTTGACCAGCCCTTGTTGTTCTCGGGGTAGTTTCTGTGGAGGCGAATCTGTTACCAGAATTTTTAGTCCCGACAGATGTTGATTTTGGTTATAGTTGATGAGACGTTTCTTAGTGGCTTCTGTAACAGGACCATTGTATTTAGATTGTAAATGTTTTGCCTCTTTATATTAATAATACGTAATACTTTTTACATTTACACAATCCGCGAATTAATTCTTGTATGTTTATCAGACACTAAGTGTGTGATTAAGACGTACTACCTACGTCTGAAGTACGTAGAATATGTTGAACGTAATACAAAAAGAAAATGTTATTTTCATTCTGTCAATAGGACTTTTATTTTCGAAAAACTTTATTCGTTTTTTTACCCGCTTATAGTAATTATTTCTATTTACTAATTTTAAAAGTTTGCATTCTACTGATAATATAAATAATTTCTAAGTCATTTTAAAATAATACATTCAATAAAGCAGTTAGCTTATTTCCCTAAGAATGTGAATAAATATCTGCTTTTCTCGATCAATCAAATCAAATAAGGTATACATTTAAAAAGTTTACAAGTGGAGCAAAGAAAATGCTTCCGTGAGAGACAGGAACTCGAACAAAATTTTAGTATGTACATACTTATTATGAATAAATTATAACATTAATTAATATATGCTGTGAAATTTATTGATAACTTTCAAACGAAATTTGTCGCACAAATTATCTTTTATAAAGAAAATTACACGAATCAAAAATACTAAACAAAAACCTTCATAATGAAGTTATTTTGTCAAAATGCTGATAAGTGTACTAGTGCAATTCAGTGGCTTGACTTCCATACCAGGGAGGACGGAAAAATTAGGTACAAAGTACATATTGAAAAAAAAAAATTAAATACAATTGTGTAGTTTTATGTTAAGTACTATTCAAACGTATAGGGAAAATGTGTTGAACATTATTTTTCTTCTTTTGTCTTCTGCTTTTGTCCGAAATAAACTGTTCAAGAAACAAAATTGTAGTAGCCGTGAATAGCTACTACATATTTGGTTACGGTTAAACTAAACAGAGCTCAAACTGCATAGTAAATATGCGCCACTCCCACTCCGTTTTTCGCGGTTGCACGACGGTAACCATGACCACCGCTATAAACACTTTACAGATGTAGGAGCCGCCTCAGAGTCCCACTGCACCTGCCGCCACTGGTGTATTTGATGACTATTGGTGCAGGAATAATTTTGCTCTTGTTTAAAAAACGGCAATACAATAAAAACACGAATTTTATTATCGAAATGTGAAATTTACCAAGAGAATAAAATTTTAACATTTGGATATTTTAATTTTTCTGGTTTAATATCAAAACTCCGATGCTTAATTGTTTTGAAAAATTGTGCAGACAAAATGATGCATTTTCATAAATAATTATAGTAGAAGTTATACAGTGTGGTCACTTTAATATATCCTAAACTTGAAGAATATATGAGTTAGTAGAACTGAAAAAAGTTGGTTATTTCCTTGACGGTTATAAAAGAGAGTAGCACTATTCAAATAATAAAAACAGTTGTGTATTTATTTGCGGCAGTCAAGTATAATTCTGTAAACATTTAAACGTTAATATCAAAATTGTATTTGTTGTACAAGACAACTAGGGTTTAATTAAATAAATTATGAAAACGACGTTTTTTGACCCTTAAAATAAAATCGATTGTCCCAAGCATTATACGTATATCATTGAACTGGCAATTTTGTTCTTATGAAGCAAAACTACTAAATATCATTGCTATAAGAAAGAACAAGAAATATAGAAATTTCAGTTTCTTCAGGATATTTCAGGAACGACACTTGTCAAATTCTTTTCATAATCTTACTTAAAAGTGACCACCGTGTATATACATTTAAAACGATCTGAAATGACGCAGCAATATTTGAAAAAATATCGTTTCATTCGTTACCAGTGGAATTAGCAGCATCGAAATCGATAAAGTTAACAGCTCCCACGGGAAATCTTAAATTTAATTTTTCTGGGAGAAAAAAAAACAATGACTCATTAGATAAACATTTTACGGTTATCAGAAATGCCATAATGGAACAAACAAAGTATTCATTTTACATTTACAGTACAAGTTATATTTTTTATCGGAAAAAAATTGGGCTTATGTACTGATCAAAATATTTAACATTATTATGTTCTATTATAGATTATTTTCAAAGCGGTGAAAGATCTTATATTATTAATGAAAAAAATTAAATTCAATATATTTTTTAACCATATAAAATAAGGATTTTCTCAAGCTTAGCGGATATAAAAATGACATCTTCTTTCTACAGAGACAAATATATATTTTTGTCTCTAAATTTGGAAATGTCAAATTTACGACTTTCTTAATTAAAACATCAAACTAAATTTGCATGAACCTTCTTATCAATCAACTTAATTTTAATGGAACATTGCTTGTACATACCTAAATGTTGCTTGTAACAGTTAATTTTCAATTAAATTGTACATAAAGATTGAAAATGGCTGATCGGGATAAATAGTATATTACGTAATAAGTGTTGTAAAAAGCATTTTACGCACGAATGGAAAAGTTACGCACGACGCCGTGTAGCGGCGAGTGCGTAATTCTATGAGTGCGTAAT